CAGTGTTGGGTGGAGAAAAGGTATAAGCCACAGATGCAGCTTCGGAACAACTTCTGTCCTGGCTAGCGCTGCATCATTTCCCCAGGAGACAGACTGGCATTGTGGCCACTCTGGGACATGTGCACTCAACATTTGTGTGTTTGCCAGATTAGAGAGCCTGTTTGCTCAGCTGCTGTTTTTTTCATGAAACTATCCAATGTGTGAGACAGCGTTTTATTGGTCATTATTGTGCTGCACAGATAGCAAATCTGTTCAGCTTCCAGTTTGGCAGTCAAGCACTTGTAGTCATGACAAGTGACGTCTCGAAAAAACATTAGAAATTATTGATTGACCTAAATTTTACTTTGATGGGTTCCTTTACTTGTATCTCTTCTGACAAACTACTGTATAGAAGTGAATCTCAGACAAGGTTACATCCATACGTGACGTTATCTAACTCCTGGACAGAGTTGTAAATGACAATGGGAAAATGTAATTAGCAAAGAAAGATGTTGAAACAGTCAGACAAAAAAAAGTGAATGGGTAAATGGTTGAAGAATTAGCTATCAGTAAATAAGGAATGGTTGGTATAAAGATAACTAGATTAGAAAGATTAAAATGTTTTAGTTTAAGGAGCAGAGAGAGGTTCAAAATCTTTAATATAATTAGCTTAACATATAAACTCTAAAAAATGGGAAATTGTACGTATGATGGATAAAAATATCACTCATTTTAACAATGTGTGCCTAAAGAGTCCAGATTTTCCTAAAGCGAGGTTGAAAAAGCTCAAATCAATAATCCAAACATAAACGGCTGGAAAGTCAACTTAAAACTACTGGGTGAATTTTTTAACTGGTGATGTAACAGTCTCAATTAATAGAGAAGATGACCAGTATATAACTGTTTAAACAGCTTTGAATACATTTTAACATAATTTGTTAAAACAAAAAAATAAATAGTTGAAATAGACTAACAGATAAACAGATGAATAGTTAGCTTTAACTAACAGATAAACAGATGAATAGTTAGCTTTAACTAACAGATAAACAGATGAATAGTTAGCTTTAACTAACAAATAAACTGATGAATAGTTAGCTTTAACTAACAAATAAACAGATGAATAGTTAGCTTTAACTAACAAATAAACTGATGAATAGTTAGCTTTAACTAACAAATAAACAGATGAATAGTTAGCTTTAACTAACAGATAAACAGATGAATAGTTAGCTTTAACTAACAGATAAACAGATGAATAGTTAGCTTTAACTAACAAATAAACTGATGAATAGTTAGCTTTAACTAACAAATAAACTGATGAATACTTAGCTTTAACTAACAAATAAACTGATAAAATTGTTGGCTTTAACTTATGGATAACCAGATGAATTAGTTAGTTTTAACTACAAAAAATAGAGATGGGTACAATATCTAAAGTTATAGTTAAACATAAAAGTGATAGCTTAATGTAATGTAGGCCTACATGTTATTCAAATGAATAGCATAAATAAAATGGTAAACATGCCTTATAATACTGAAATAATGTTAATAAATGGTTGGAAAATCCAGCCTCTTCCATTACGAGTGTTTGTGGTAAGAAAATAGTTGTCATGATCAGAGGTTACCGACTTCAAACATTGTAGTAAATGCTGGTAACAACATGCATATTATTCATTTCACTTCCATGAAGAAGCACTCTTAGCCTCCTTGGGTTGCAGACTTTTACAGCCGCCATTGGTTCATCTCGACTCTCCTGGGAATTGATTTCTAGCGTAATACAATTTTGAATTATTTATCAAACTTAGTGTGTATGAAACAACAACCTCTCAATCCGCTGTTACAGCACTGCGCTGCATTCGTCTGTGTGCACAGCTAATCAGATTGATAAGTGTTGGAAGCAATACATTTAGATGGGATGCACCTGAACAAAGCGCAGGAATATTTGATTAGATAGAGAAAATGAAAGACAGTTCAGTTTTATACCAAGATGCTGTGGGTTGATAAATCTGAGGGAAAGTGGAGGTTGAAGTTTGAAAAGCAACCAGCTGGGTTTTTTGGACTATTTTCAGTGTTATGAAACTTCTGTTTATGTGCATATCTTGTCATTTTTGTCATTTTTAGCCTGCCAATTTAACAGACCAGTAATACACTGACAAAAAAAGCTCCTATCTCAAAGTTGTGAGGATGTTGGAAATCGGGAGAAGCTGAGAAATGTGTCCCAGAAAATATGTAAATGTTTTGAAATATGTAAATGTCCTGGGACAAGAACAAGTCTTTGTTCTTGATCCTGTCTTTGAAGATTGCTAAATTATCCCACATGGTATTTATTGAATATGTTACCTAGGTAATCCAGAGGGTAGAAGATGAATTCATTTGATGAAGGCTGCAAACAATTTGAGCTATTCAAGGCCTTTTGGTAGACTAAAGATTTACTTTTGGTTGGTCAATGTTTTCCAGTGCTGTTGTGGCATTTTTTTTTTACAGCCATCAAAGAAAGGAGAATGACGGCTTTGTTATTCGCTTGAAGGTCTCACCAGAATGACAGCTTGTAGCGGAGCTGGCATGTGGGTGAGGGAAAGAAACGGGTGCAATTTTATTTCATTGACAAAACATCAATATTCACCTTGAAATGAATTGCAGTTTTCATCTTAGCAAACGTTAAAAAGTACACAGAGGACATTTCTTTTATGTGATAGCAATCTGAAAGTAATCAAAAACTACCTTTTGTTTTATCACTGCAAGCCTTAAGTCTGTAATAAAATAGCTCTAAGGCATAGCTTTTAACCACAATTATTTAGGTTATCATCTCTTGTCTTGCATATTTTTAAGACACATGAAGTCACACATTCAAGCAGGAATATCTTCCCCCAAGCAGTGTTTTTCTCTTATTAAAAGATCAATCAAATATTTACAAGACAAGCTCGCTTTTCACAAGAGGGAGGAATATGCTCATAAATTCTCAGCCATGCAGCAATTTGACTAAGAACATAAATGATTCTGTCTGCTTCACTGACTCTCCTCTAATGTACTAAGCTAAGGAAACAACATCCTTTATAAGGAAGCTCTGTGAAGACAATTATTCGTTCAGAAAAAGCAGCAGCCGCTCCTGAGGTGCAAATTTGCTAATGTGCACAGAGTGAATTTGTATTCACAGTCGGAGTAGGATTGTAATTCAGAGGGTTTAAAAAAGTCTTGGTGGGAAAACCCAATTAGGATGCCATGATGTGGCATGCAATACGATTCTGTCAGTCTGTAATGGAGAGACCGGACGGGTAATAAGGCTGGCACATGTTGAGCTCTCACTTTGCACAGATTTCAATCACAGCCGACCTGGGAAGCATGCCCTGCCTCTATAAAAGGATACAACCCTTCTCCTGCTGGTGGGTTAATTGGACAAGCATTAGCTGTGCTTTGTCATTGATTCATTGAACATTTTCTACTATATATTGAAAAATAATCAGCTCAGAAGGTTTAGATGTTTCATACAATATCCACAACTAATCTTACACTGCAATGATAAGTTGATAAATAGTTCAAAATGAAATGTATTGTTATCACACAAGAAGGTGCTTTTCCGCTGTGTATCATAGGCATATGTTCTGCCTTTGTAATAAATATCAGAACATTTAGCCGTGATTCAATTCAATCAATCAATTTTTAATTTTTAACATTACAAAAGAGCAGGTAAAAAGACCTTACTCATTGTTATGTTACAAAAAGCAGGTAAAAGACCTTACTTATTGCTATATTACAAAGACCCGGCCTATCCATCATGAGCACTTTAGCAAAGCAGCAAACGTTACAGTGGTAAGAAAAAACTGCCTTATTAAAAGGCAGAAATCTTCGGCCGGATCCCCGGCTCATGATGAAACAGCCTTCACAGGCCCAGACTGCGCCGGGCTTGGAAGGGGATAGGGGGAGAGATGGGATAAGATGATTGAATGTGAGCTTTCTTTCATACAACAAACAGTAGTAGGAAAACAACAGATAACCATTTTTTGTTTATTAATCATGAATTTGGCCCTTCCTACATAGCAAATTCTGCAACTTGACTTGCACTGGACTGTCGATGAACAGAAAAAAGGAAAAAAACATTTCCCTCTACTCTTGCTAATCTGTGTTTGTTTACACAATTCAGCAGACCAGCTGCTTTGTGTAATGTACAAATGCTTTGGTGTCCACCAAAGACGGTGCTGTTATGTTATTATTTTTAGGGGTCTGTCTGGGTTTTGTTTTACTTGTATCCACATTACTAGATCCACATTTAACAACCACCCTTAAGATCAAGAACAATAAAAAGCATGTATATGAGGATAGAATAAAGCGGCCTATTAATATTGGGCACACTTTGTGTCCCTGTAGTCCTTGCACAGCCTCTTTGCAAAATATAGCAGCAAAAGTCACATATAATTGATGTTGTTATACAGGACATTATTTCCTGCAGACTGTCGTGCACATAAATATATGAGTATAGAGCATAATCCAAATTTTCAGATTGTTACGGATTTTGGAAACTTTTATCTTTCATTTCCACCACAAACATCAATATAGGCTCTCATTAATTGTGCCATTTGTCATTATTCTTGACATCCTTAAAGGTTAATATAATTTAAAACTGAACCTTATGAAGCTACAGTGCGCTCAAACTTGAACTGCAGATAAATGGGAACCCCTTACACTTAGCCTACTTCTAAGTGTTAATTGAAATAATTATAAAACAATTTTTTATTGCAAGAAAAAATCAAACTATTCAACTTATTTCACCCCTGAAGCAGGTTGGTGTCAAAAGAAAAAAAGCCCTCTCAATTGCTTTAATCTTTTTTTTTTTTAAAGAAAAGGCTATTTTTCTGTCCTGTTTCTTTTGCAAAGCTATACATTTATCAGAAACAATTTGGGTTGTTTTTCTTTCTCACAAAATGTAATAATTATAACTCAAACACAGATTCTTGTGTTCGTGTGTTTTTGCTGTTGCGACAGTAGCGAATTCAGGAACTGTTAGTCCTTATCGGCCACCGTAGCAACAGGAAGTGCAGCCCTTGAAGTTTCGAGGAAACGCTCTACCTCCATCCCGCTGGATTTCATCGCCTTGCTCCGGACCTTTGTTCAACATGTCTCACAGGAGGTGCTCGATTGTCGGTTGCAGAGAGAAGTCAAATTTGTTTTCCTTACCTAAAGATGAGAGCACCAGAAAACGCTGGGAAGATTTCCTCATGTCTGTTTGCACCAAACCACGCTTTCTCTTCAGCGGTCCAACATGTGCACAGTCCAGCTTGTTTGTCTGTGCACGGCACTTCACGGAAGACTCTTTCGACAACAAAGTCCAGTATTCAGCAGGATATTCGGCTAAACTGAGGCTGAAGAGTGGGGCTTTTCCATCGCTGAACAATGCACTCACAGAAGAGCCAGACGAGGAAGATGTGAGTAACATTTTAACACATTTTGACTCAATAAAACAAAAACTAAACAAGGGGTGTCATTCTTTAGTATCGTCTCCGTGTTCGTAATCTGGTGCAACTATGACAACAACAGACACGTTCGGGTTAAAATGCACACGTTACCATGGTTACGCGTAAAACCCAGCAGGGAAATGTAGGTGTTCAAGTGAACTTTACCAGTGAGGTAGTATAAGATATACTTTATTCATCCCAGCAGGGAAATGTAGGTGTTCCAGCAGCCAGCATACATACAAACACACAACACAACACATATATACATACATATCCCACCCATACAAAAAACAAAAAACATGAGCCCACAATACATAACCAGGATTAAAAAAAAAGTGGTGTGGATGGTCCATGTGCATAAGTAGCTGTTACTCATAGATAACAGTACACAATACTAGCTCTGCCAGTGCACAGTATGATAGATAAATAAAGAATTATTATAAAAAAGCAGTCAAGTGTGCAAAATACAGTTTGACATATGCAGCTCAGGCTAAAGTTTAAAACTTTAAATGTCTTCTGTCCTCACTTAAAGGGGAGTCGTTATAAAGTGCAATTGCAGTAGGTAAAAAAAAAAGTATTTTTAAATCTGTCCTTTTTGCAGCTGAGCTGCCGTAGCCTCCCACTAAAAACACTTTTTTGTTCTCACACGAGATCGTGTCAGGGATGCATGTTATTGTCCATAATGTTCAACAGTTTCTGTATCATCCATCTCCCCATCACCACCTCCAGGGGCTCCACAGCACAGAGCCAGCCTTCCTAATCAGCTTGTGACGCTTTTTAGAGTCACAAGCCCCTGATGCTGCTGCCCCCAACACACAGCTGCAAAGAAAATGGCACTTGCCACAACAGTCTGATAAAAACATGGATAACATTTTGCTACACACATTAAAAGACCTAAGCTTCCTCAAGAAGTAGAGTCTGCTCTGACCCTTCTTGTAGACGGCCTCCGTATGCTGCTTCCAGTCCAGTTTATTGTTCATGTGCACCCCCAAGTATTTATAGCACTCCTCCACCTACGAGACCTAAGAGATGGTGCTTAGCTCAGGCCTGTCCCTCCTAAAGTCCACCACCATTTCCTTGGTCTTTGTTAATGCTTGTATGTTGTTATGCTTGCTGTATGTTATAGCTTTATTTAAACCATATTCAATTAAAACATAGGGTTCACTATGTAACATAAAAAGCAATGCTTTTGTAGCAAATACCACATTGGTTCTAAAAACTAAATTCCCTTTTTCCTTTCCTCTTTTTAAATTAGCTTTCATCGGAGGAGCTGCCCTTGACCTGCGTTAAAACAGAGGACAACCCCAGTCAAATACTATCTTGGCCTCAACGTACAGCCTGTGTTGCCACGCAGACCTCCTACCTGATGGTTTCTGTTGGCACACAACGTAACTACATTCCTTCCACAAAAACCGCTGGGACGCAGTCCTCCGTTATGATGTTGTCTATTGGAACACAGTGCAGCATGAAAAGCTCCGCGAAACCTGCTGCCACACAGTCGTTTTGTAAAAGATCGACAAACATGAGAAGAAAAGGTGAGTGCAGTACTGTGCAAAAGTTACGGTCAACCGCATGATTTGTTGTGTTGGCGTTGTTATTTTAATTTCATCAAACCATTCCTTCTGGAAAGCGTCTGACTGAATGGTTTTAGTATTCAGCATGACAATGATCCCAAGCACACTCCTAATGTAGTGAAATCATATTTAGACAGAAAAACAGCCAATTAAGTCATCAACTAATCTCCACAGAGTCCAGGCCTGATTGTTATGGAGGCAGTGTGGGATCACCTGGACAGAGAGAGAAATACAAGTCAACTAAAGTCTTAAGATGAACTCTGGGATGTGCTGAAAGAAGCCTGCTTTCATATGATAAAATATTACTTTAGAAATTGTCATGGCAGTCAACCGGCAGTCAACACAGTCAAGTGTTCAAGATGCGCTAAATGTAAAGGAAGGTCACAGTAAATATTGACCTTAGCCTATAGAAGCCGTTTTGTTCTGAGAATTGTGTCGTTGTTTCTGACATGTATTTTGAACTCTTCTGTTTGTATCTCAATAAAGAGACAGAGAAAGAAAAAAATGTGGACATAAAACTTTGCTAAAAACAAAGCAAGTGTTGGCCTAAGACTCGTGCACACTACTTTATGGAACAATCATATGCCATGTAAGGACAATCATTTAAAAAAAAAAAGATGTTCTTGAGTTGAAATAAAAAACCCGTTTATGATCAAGAAAACATGGAAATGCAATTGACTTCCAGCACTGCAGCAAAAACCACAAACTATATTGTTTTTCTCTCTTTCTCATCAGGCACCCAGGACAGAGTTCACTGCAAAAGTGATCGCAAGTGCAGCACCGAACAGGACGGAGAGATTCAACAGCCATCATCATCCGTAGAGGCTCCGGCACCTTTACTGGATGTCGGATCAGCTAAGAGACTACGTGTTGAAAATCTGAAGGAGGAGGAGGAAGAATACGAAATTATTTCTGATACGCCGCAGCCTGGGGACTCTTTGACAGAGCCAGTTGAAACTAGGTAAGGGGCTTTTGGAGCTTTAAATCCATATGTGTACTATTTGTGCATAAATCTTTAACTGACTGTTTGCTTTTGTTTTGTCCTGATAGAAAGTCAAATTCCACAAGAAGGTTTGATGAGCAAGAGTGCATCGTGTTCGAGAGCTGCCTCAGAGACCTCTTCCAGACCTGTCCTGTGTGCGAGCAGCACTGTGAGATGCTGCAGGAGACACTGGGGACTTCTGTGTCCTTCAGTCAGCAGTGCCATACCTGTCTGTTTAGCAGAAAGTGGCAGAGCGAGACAGTCGCAAGGAGTGAGGTAACAGATAACAGCTGATCTGGGACGCATGTGATCCATGGACTGATGTATGAATATGTTGTAAACTCAACTCGCTGCCAATTCATCCCTGTGCAGAGTCGCATTGAAAAGAGACTATACAGATGTTTTTGTTGACTCAAAAGGCCAATGATTACAGGCATGTAATCATTGAAGACGACGGGTTTGGAAATAACAAAGAGACAAATTGGTTGAATATTGGCTGCTACAACACTGGGTAGTGAAGTTAGTGTATGGTTGGGTGTTTGCCGTTCCTTACATTTTGTAAACCTCAAAGTTACTGTACTGTGATAATATGACTGCATACAAAGTGCCACAGGAATCTGATCTACAAATGTTAAGACAGTTAAGTCTTATATTAACATTGTAATTACAATTGTTGCACAGATTAGTGTTTGGCAACTTTTTTATTAAACGTTCCTCGAACTCCTCTCATATATCTGCATATATTTCAAAAGGATCAGTTGGCAGTTGCCCTTGACAATAATCAGTCATATTAAAACAACTCTGTTCTCCAGTGCTGCGTTTCATCCACAAACTGAAGGAATAAGCCCGACATGAATCCCTGTTCTTCTGTTTCACAACATAAAGATAAAGATAAAGATAAACTTTATTGAGCCCCCGTGGGGGAAATTTGTGCATTACAGCAGCTCCAGAAAACAGGGGACGGGAATATACTTATTAAAAATACAAATAGAAGTTAAAATCAAATCAAACATATTTACATCATTTAAATAAATAAAAAATACAATAATTTAAAATTACACAGTAACTAAGGGATTGTTCTTAAAAAAACACACACAGTGTGTAGCATGAGGTGGTGATGCTGCTAAAGAGTCTGATTAAACAGTTTGACGGCAGATGGGATGAACGACCTGCGGTAGCGCTCTGTCTTGCAGGGTGGGTGTCTCAGTCTGCTGCTGAAGGAGCTGCTCAGGGCCCCCACAGTGTCATGCAGGGGGTGAGAGGGGTTGTCCATGATGGATGTCAGCTTCACTAACATCCTCCTCTCACCCACCTCCTCTACAGAGTCCAGAGGACAGTCCAAGACAGAACTGGCCGTCCTGACCAGTCTGTTCAGTCTCTTTCTGTCTCTCTCCGTGCTCCCTCCTCCCCAGCAGACCACTGCATAGAAAAGTACAGACGCCACCACAGTGTCATAAAAAGTCCGTAGCAGAGTCCTGCACACTCCAAAAGACCTCAGTCGTCTCAGCAGGTGGCCCTTCTTGTACAGGACGTCGGTGTTGTGTGACCAGTCCAGTTGAAAGGGCACTTTCAACATGCGCTGAAAGGGCAGCCGAAGCAAAGACACACATACATCCGCTGAATGTGCATATGCCACATGTTCAACATTTGTCATATGAGAAAAATGTATGCTGCTTTTATGTGACAGCCTGTTTTAAAATAACGTTCTGAATAAAAAAGAGGGTTCAGGTAAATCTCACTGCTTGTGTTATTATTTGAACTACTGGAGTTGTAGCAATGTTTCTAAATTTATAAAGAAGAAAACTGAGGATGTGACATCATGGAAAAAGTCAAATGATCAATATCTCTGATCCAATCCTTGACTCATAAGTGCAGAATTATCAAATGGTGAGTTTTAATATCTGTTGTAGTCCATTTGGAAACCTCCAAACATCTGCAGCTGTTTTACTGGTGGATCCTTCACACAGACAGGTGAGAAATATAATGAAACAAATACATAAAGGAATGACTGTTGATTCAGACGAAGACATTTTAAAAAGTTTGCTTTTCTGTGCTGTCATGTCTGTGAAAAAATTGAATCTAAAGATGTTTCCTGGTGATACCTTCAGGAGGCATGCCAGTACGATTTTGGAGTCTGCAGTTAATCGTAAACGAATAACAGATCAACAGACACTGACTCAGTATCCAAAACAGTTTTTGGAATTATTAGGGACCCACTAGGTGAGGAATTTAACATTACAGATTTACTTGTTTTACTAAAGGTAACATGAATGCTAATTACTTATCATGTTAAAATAGAGTGTTATTCCTCACTATACTGTGAATTGATTTTAGCAGCCTCTGCAAAATTCAGCAGCTACAACATAATACACCTGGAGAGCAACAACATAATTGATGTTAAGCCAGCGCAGGTAAATCTCAAATCCTTTTCACACAAACTGCACCACTGAAAACTTCCCGACATTACACTGGTGGACTGTGTATGGGACAGGACTTTTAGCTAGAGCAATGAGATTTGGATGGGAATTTATTTCTCAAAAAGAAATCCCCATGCCAGAGTACTTGTGTACCCAGTTTGGGAGACCTGCATAGTAATGAGGAGCAAGTCATCACCCGATCTGTGCACCGTTTTAGTCAAGGAGCACACAGAACAGACTAACAAGAACTTTAGAATCTGCAAAGGAGGAGAGTGATTCAAGATGGGAGTAAAAAACTGCCAAAATTCAACTTGATGCTGATATCATCCAACCCAGTTGTATCATCAAGTACAATTTTTTTTTTTTGTTTTAACATTTTGAATCCTCATCGTAAAATCTTTCGACATATTTTGGAGGAAATATCTCCAAACATGTCTCTAACATCTTAACTGTATGATGAATAAGAAACCTTTGTTATCACTCTGCTTTCATTTTTGTTTTCCAGTCAAAGTGAGAAGTCAGTCTTCAACAAAACACATTTAAGTGGAGAATAATTTCTTTCTTTGTGTAACCACAGCGTGTTTTTACACTCCTCCGAAGCCGAAATACAACACAGAGCTAAAGAGCTCTTGAATTGATGTATGGTAAAAGCAAAGAAAGAAAAAGCAATTGACATTCTGCAGGCGAGAGCTAAACACTATTTACCTGTTCTGCCTGGAGAAAGCCTGTGGGCACACCACAGATGACGCCATGAGTAAATGATGCCCACTCTGAACTCGCAACAGTGATCAATAAGAAACTAAATCAATAGAACCTTGTCTTGAGACCATTTGGACAGTTTCTTTAAGATGAAATATTAGATGGGGCTCGTACATCTTAAATGTATTAAAGAGAGATATCTTCAGGAACATGATTGACCCACTTGATGATTGCCTTAAACTCACTTTCCCATTCAATGTAATGTGATCCTATGGATGCAGATTTATTCACAACTGCTAATACCTGTAAATGACTGTGTCCATGTCAAGAGGTCAGAACACAGCAGAGCTGTATCCTAACTACCCATCTTCCATTTCACAATGCTAATAGCACTGTGTGCTTTAGAGGAGCGTCAATTTTTTGTGCTCATTGACTATGGATGAGCATCTGGTCAATGTGCATGTGTGATGTGATTGTTGAGCTCTTCCTGAGAGCTTTGTGCTGGATTTCCCTAAGCACAAAAAAAAACATGCAGACATACAGAGCCCATAGAGTCATGCACAACATCAATACTGTCATCCATCAAGCCATACTAATGTAACTTCAGGTGATAAGAGAATTTAAATGGGCCAAAAGCAACTGGAGAAGAGAACTTAAAATTGTAAATGCAATTGATCACACTGATTATTAAAGGTTTTGGGTGTGATCATTTTGTTATTAGGTTTCTTTTAAGGGTAGATAAAATAAATAATTCATTGTCATCAGCATGAGAACAGTTGGGTAGCTTGTGTATTTGATCAAAAAAGTCCGGCCAGTGCTGTGCTAAAAAATCACATTGGATTTGATGCAACAACTTACATTTAATCTTTTATGAGTTGAACATAAAGCTTTTTGGATCTGCACTTCTTCCATTATAAAATGCAAGAATCTAGCTTTGCATATACATATACATTACTCCCTTGGGCATTGTTAAAAATAATTGATAAGCAGTGGTGGGAGAAGTGTTCTGGTGGTCTAACACAAGCTACTATGAGGTACTTCAAACACATTTGTTCTGTGTGTAGATAACTGGTATCCCACTTTTCCGCTTCCTGTAATGAAAATGTGGGTAGAAATAAATCTCCTTCATCCCTATTCATGTGTAATGTAAAGCACAATATTACATTTTCTCTTGGAAAATGTGAACAAAAGCTCTTCAATCTGCATGCTTCAAAATGCTATAACCAGAATTCAACCCAGTGGAAGAAGACCCGTTCATAAAAAAAAAAACTATAAAGAAATATTGAATCTTTTAGTCAATGTTATATTTCTTATACTAATGATAACCAGGTATAATCAACTTTGTGAATGTCATGATGAATGATATTTCACAGGCTTTTTGTAAAACATTCATCTAAAAAAGGAAGTAATACTTTGAAATAAACATAGGGGAGTAAATAGCCCAGTATGTCCCTCTAAAATAAGATAAAGTTGTTTCTACATTTGAGTACAAGTACTTCAAAATTGCTCTTAAGTAGACTTATGATAGAGTAAGTGTATATTGTTATTATTTAGCCTCTCTTTCAGTCTGTAATGTAAGTTTTTTTTTTTAGTTTAGTTAAAACTTTTGCATTTGTGATATCTCCTTTGTATGAGATGTAGTTAAGGCATAGCATTTTTTTCACATTTTTTTTATAGATGTAATGGCCTTCACTACACCAAGGAAGTGCAAAAGAGTAATAAAAAAAACACCAATCCATTTCCCAAGTATAATTTAATGACAGAGGAAAGAGCAAAACAGATTTCCCTTTACAGTAGGATCCATCATTATACACTACTATGTCTGTGTGAAGAATGGTCTGTGATTCATTCTTCCACACCGTCATTTATCTGAGTTAATTTTATCTAACGCTGGACAGAGGTCATTTTACACTGTCACAGAGTTACATAATCAAATTTCTGTTTTGAGCTATTCTTTGCAGTATGACTAATTAGCTCTGGACATCCTCAGATGTGTAATGTCTGGAAAATCGCCCTCCTCCAGAGGACTTCCATCTTGTTATCCACTATCAGGACGAAAAAAACAAAGGGACACTGACCAGGCCGTATTGAGGTTAGTCAGCTTAACGGTGATTAAATTAATCAAGCTACAACCTTTGAAATCGTGAAGGGGTTTGATGCAAAAGGGCAAAAGGAAGAAGTAGAGAAAATTAACCCATTACACTGTTTTTTTAATCTCCACCAGAGGATTTTGTCTGGAGTTTACTTTACTCTGCAGTCTTATCCTTCTTAAATTGTGAGAGAAACCAGGCACATTCACATTTAAGGCTTTAATATTTGATACTAGTCGGTTTCACCACCACAGCAGATTCCACATGAGCAAGGGAAATGTTTTGCAGGTTGATATACTTCACAGTGTTAAAATGTTTCACACAGTCAGCAAAAAACCCAACTGGAGTCCAAGAGAAAAAAGGTTATATAGCATTTCTATAGAGGAAGAGGAAAAAAGGTTATACAGCATTTCTCTAGAGGAAGAGGAAAATGTACTCACAGACACACTCGTAATTTCAAATAATTTATTATTAAGCAAGTGCGATATGAACGTTGACTTTATTTTTATATAAACAATAATACATGTGTCTCCTGATGCCAGCATCCCTGCATTGCCAAGTCTTTGTTTTACAATTCAATAATTAGCACTTCTTGAGAGAAAGTCCCAAGTACTTCAAAAGTCAAGAATGATTACATATTGTCACCCAGTGTAAAATGGGCAAATGCAAACACAGTGCAAAGCGGTAAAAGTAGATACATTTTACAGTAATAAACATACAAATCATATTAGTATTCAAACACTACAGTAGTGAGTTAAGTGTATTTGTATTTCCTGATTTAAAAAACAAACCGTTTTCAGGCAGATTGACCATTTGCTAAGCCCTACCACTTTTCTTATTGTTGCTTAAACTGTCAAGCTTCCATATTGCACTTTTCATATCTGCTTAACAATGATGATAGAGGCAGATAAGCCATTCCAAATGAATTGAGAAATATATGAACAGTGGGTTCTGAACTCATTTCTACCCCTAAACCATATAGGCAAGCTATTCAGGTACCATTACCTCCATTAGTTTACTAAAACCATGCTTCCATTGATTTGTCAAAATGCCTCTTTCTGCTTAAACACAACAGTGATGATATAGGGCTAAAATATAAACCTTGTGATTACTGACAGTACATAATATTGTGCTAAAAGACTGAGGCAAAACAGGTCCAACAGGAAAAGTACGCTCCTTAATAGGTTGAAGTGTGAAAAGTGAGAAAAAGTGTCATTTTATTTCATGTAAGTCTGTTTGACTGCTTTACTAACATGCTCTTTTTTATTTATAACTATAATTTTGACCTATCCTCATGCATAAAGTGTGATCTTGTCATTTTGTCCATTCCCCACTACCTTTTTGTAAACTTTACTAATCACCCTTAAGCAGGTTGACAAGTATATTACCAAACACGTCCTTGTTATACAAAATGTGAATCCCCTGAGGTCTGTGATGTCGTAGCACATCACGTTGGTAGTCCTTTGAAATGTACCTCCCGGTGCACATTAGATACGCACTGATTGGGAAAATCAGGGCCGATGCCGATACAGATGTTTGAAATAACAATTTAGCAGCTTGCCCATGTTTGTTTCATGGCTTCTTTTGGTGTCGACTTCCACAATGCCAACATTTTCTCTCATGTTTGACAATGAAAACAAGTCAGAGTTTGTTCAAGAGGGGACCCCCTCTGCCCATTAAAAAAAATCTTATCTGAATCATTAGTTAGGTGTGCTAGATGCCGGCATTAAAATGATTTGGCGCAACAAATAAACATCAGCTACTGGCATTGTCTCATGTTACATTATTTGGCCATGTGCCGATGTCTGTCAACAGGGCCGATATTGGCTGATACTGATGTTAAACTGATTCATCGATGCATCCCTAGTGCACATCCTTATCCCCAGATTAAATATATTTTTTACATACTTTTGTGATCCAGAGATAACTAAAAACTCACCAGATGAAACTTTTTTGCAGCAAAATACCTCAAAAGATTGCAACTTATATCCTGATTTAAAAAAGAAAAAAAATATATTTTAGGTTGTAACAACACCCCCAATATATAAGCGAAATCCTGGAGAGACTGAAAAATAAACATTATTGATGCAATGGACTCAGACAATTAGCATAATTCAAAAAGGTCTCCCTTAAAGGGCCCATATTATGGATATCTGGTTTTATATGCTCTTTAGTGTGTGTTTCCAAGTGTCCTGTGCATGTTTAGGCACATCTATTTGCAAAAATTCTAAGTCCGCGGAAACGCGGATTTAGGACTCCTACATTCTACTGTTAGCTGTAGCATTAGCTGCATGTAACGCTCGGTTCTAGCCCCCCTCGAAAAAACGTGGGGACTCTGAATGTGGGCACTTCAGAGCCTTAGAGAGAGAGTCAGAAGCGAGCTGGTGCATGGAGCGGCAGTACATGAAAACAGACACTTTTTTTTAACTTTAGCTATTGTGAACATACTTTAGTAGGTACATAGATTAAATATACAAACCCCAAAAAGGGCATAATATGGGCTCTTTAAAAATGAATGAGGCCAAAAATCAGGTAGCGTCAAGATGCGTCTTTAACCTTAATGAAGCTCCCTGGAAACCAATTCAGGCCTGTGGAAAATCCAACATGGTGACAGACCTGCTGTGCATAGGTACAGTAGCTAAGTAATAATTGGAAGATTGCAGTTTGGGAAAGGGTTAGGATTCAGTAAATGGTCCAAAAAAGGTCTGTGTTTTCTATAAAAATGGTGCTTGTTGGGATTTTAAAGTATTTGATTTAACTCTCTGAACAGAAGTGAAATAAACAAGCACAAGGGTAGAAGTATGAGAAGTCAGTTAGGGGCACAGATGGCGATTTATGAAAAGATGACTCACAGTATGAGCGGATGGATGGCTTATTGGCGTTGTACTTCTATTTGTGGCACTGGACAACTTATTAAAGAGCCCGTAAGTAAAGGTAAAATACTGGTCAAAATCTGCAGGACAAAAATTCAACTATTATCACAGTAGTTTTCAGTTATATGCAATGCCCATTAAGCCTGATTCAGTTTTCAAAATGTTTCAAGTCTTAAAGGTAGTCAGCACAAGTCAGCGGTCAGCATTCATTCTGCGCAGTTTGGCCGGTAGGTTGTCCTCTGGCCGACTCCCTACCAATGGGATCTGGACTGGCTTTGGGGTCTGGGCAGCAATGGAGCTATATGCTGCTGGCAGTCTGTGTTTCTCCACCTCTCCCTCCTCTGCTTCTCCATCCAAGGACAACAGCTGGACCTGCTCCTCTGGCTGTCCTTGCCTCACAGCTGGGATGGAGCTGGACCTCAGCCTCTGAATACTAAGCGGAAGATCTCCTGTGCTTGAGGCCTTACCCCCGGGCAAGGATGGCCCGGTCTTATACCCCCTCAAGAGGAGCTCCTCTCTAGTGGAGCTCATGCGTTGTAGTTTGCTGGGCCGTCTGGTGACTTGGTCCTCCATGTGGTCAGCGCAGTCAGCCGACAGGAGCCTTTCTCTTCGCCCTCCACGTCCACCATTACCCAACAGAGGGGACGAGGGCGTGGCTGCAACAGGCAGAGGGTTTGGTGATGTCAGTGAAGACTTCTCCTCCTGCTCTTTTACGCTGTGTGGTGGTGTTGGGACCTCAAATGTGTTGTGGAACTGGGAATAGTCGACTCTAAAAAAGCCCTCCTCCAGTGACATGACTGGGAGGAAACGGTTGCCCCACAAGACTTCATCCTCGGTGTAAGACGTCCTCGCCTGACATGTCATTCCTAGTATGGAGAGAAGAGATGGGATTGTAGTGAAATAGTTCAAATACTGGCAAAAAGACCAATACAGTAACATTGTGAAGAACATTTTTGGAAAGTGAGCTGTTAAATCAAAATGAACAGTGAGCCAAACAAACTAATGAAAAGTTGTGAATTACTCAAGGGAAAAGGGAGACAGATATATTAGAAAAAAACACAACATTGATGCCATTGAATAATTAATGAACATGAAATTAATCATTCTGTTACATTTTTTAATCTTGCATCACTGAGAAATGCTCTCTGCCTCAGACTAAATGATGATCCAAAAGTAATTAGGGTAATGAAAGTGCATTCAAAGTTTTTATTAAAAAAAAAAAAAAAAAAGAAAAAAAGATATATAACTTGATCTAACCAGTAGTCTCAACGATTCCCTCTAGAATGACGACGATCTCAAACTCCTCGTTCTTGAGGGAACGCTGTGACAGATCGAAGAACGGGCTCTTGTTGTTGATCTCGTGGCAGATGGTCAGAGGCGACACCAAGAAGAGCTGGTCCGCCCCCGTCCCAAAACCCACGTCCAGCTCACACTGGTCCAAGGGCAGGAACTCACCCTCCGGGGTCTGCCGTGACTAGAAACACAAATGATCAGAACATTTAGGAGTCTTTTTTTCATTATTTGTGATTTCAATGGAGCTAGGGGATATGAAACCCAACAATATTTGAAAGTTAACAGTGACTGGATGGAGCAACATGGTAATCTAAACAGATAAATGATTAAAGTTCAATTTGGATACCACTAAAATAAAGACCTGAAATTAAAAAAACACAAACATTTATCTGTCTTTATGAGCTTAAAATGTTTTCAAGTTTCAAAATCTTGATAATCAATATCATTATAAGTTTTCATCTTTAATTATTAGAATGCAACAAATTATATTATTTTATAGTGGACTCTGATAGCTAGTTAGCTTAGCTTAACAAAGAGATCGGAAACTGAGGAAAAGCAATCCTGGTTCTGTCAACAATAATGAGGTATATGAGGCCTAACAACAGCAAAGGAAAATTAAGATGTTTTCTCTATTGGATAATACCTTCCACTCAGATGGATGTTTCCATTTTTGCAACTTCTGTATTTGTTTGCATGCTTTGTTGCAGGCAGCTCTGATGGAAATGTAACAGACTTTGTGTTAAGGGTCCCATGAAATCACTTTGTTAAAGCAATTTTCATCTGTGATTTGACATCGTTCCACATGACATGTGATGTTAGGATGGGAGTTTGAGTGGGAAGGGAATATTTTTTTTTAACAGGAAAAAGTCTGCACATTGCAGGTGTTTGTAGTTGTTCACAACTTCATGCATCATGCTCAATTAAATGCACATTTTTGTCTTCAATCTAAGGATTACTCATCAATAACACTACAAAAATGAACATATTAATGCACAGCTATTTTAGATCAGACCTGCCTGCTGTTGTTTTTCTTTTAAACAAAAATTGGGCGGCTGATTCTGCCCCAAAAATCTATGATGACATTTTTAGGACGGAATATTTATTTGAAAAACATTTATTTGCCTCCAGGGAAGAAAATATGTTCTTGCGCCTTTCGGCAGAGACATGGGATGATTTTTGATACAAGGATACAAAGGAAAGGAACATTTTGACATTTTTTTTGGTGCATAGTAATAGATCTCACAACAATACATCAAAGAGATGCAACAAAACTAAAAAGCTGTTCTCAGGACATTGATGTTGTTCTCTATTTTCTCACAGGCAGACATGACCGGTAAAGTCTGTGGAAATATAAGAAGAAAAAGGCATCTCACTTCTTCTACAGCTCCTTTATCATCATGCTGCAACATTGAGACAGAAATATATCCCTGTACATAAGAACATGCTACTTAAAAAGTCCTGAGTATCAGCCTGGCCTTGTAGACAAGTATCATTAGATTATTAGAAAACACTTGTTTTGCTCTAGGGAAACCAAGCTCAGTCAAATAAAGTACTCCTGTAGCTGTTAGATTAAAACATGGGATTAGGTCAAAGGCTCTCAATAAGCTTATAAAACCTCTTTGCCTGTCAACTGAGAGCCTCTTACACTATTCATAAAGCAAATGTGTTTGTTTCTCACAGAAGGCTAAAGATAATAACCCTACAAAAAATCCATCATCTCTGCAATCAACAAGAGAAAAACGATGACAAAAGAAACACAATTCAAACTAAGTAATATTTAGCTATAGCTTAACTCTGAACCAGTATATTTTTCTCTCTCTCATCTTGTATGCAGAGGGGCCTCTATGGCCCTTTGAGTGAAGAGCCACCAGTCCACAGATGGCAAACAGACTGTCATTTGTATTCACAGTGATGCTGAGGACAGAAGGGTGTGACATTTCACAGGAAGACGTCTGTGCCCACAGATCCCTGGCGCGCCTTGGAGAGGGAAAGTGTCACCCATTGAACTGTATCAGGGAATGGCACTAATGAAATATTCAGACAGGGGGCCATTTCCTAACTGAAGTCAAACCAATTCAATTAGAAAGATGTTTTACAGAAAAATTAAGGCAAAGTGAGGCTGTTGGGAAAATGAAAATGAAGACAGTTGTAGAAAGACCCTGTCCTGTCCTCTAAAATGCCAGTCTGGACGGAAAAATCACAAAGTGAAAGATATTCCTGAACTCTGTTCAGCCTAAAAAAAAGATTTAATCACATTTGTTGCAATGTCATCCACCTGCACACTGCATCGGTAACAGCCTGCATGCAAGCACACACTCAATGTAGATGACTTTTACCGTTAAAATGTTCTTCTGACCTTGTTAGTGGTTATACAGCTGCCTCTGTGATAAATGTCCGCATTTGTAAAATCTGTTGTATTCAAAACCATTGAGCACTGCTTGGCTGTCTGTCAAGTCGTTTAACACAATCTGTTCAACTTGTTGTCTCGTCTGTAACTTAAAAGCACAGCCCCATTGTTTCAGCAAGGCTGGTTTTGGCCTGTATCCCCGCTCAGGGTTACATCACAGTTCTAAACTTCGGAAAATATACTTCCTTGCTGTGAGTAGTGTAAGAAAATTAAAACAACTTGTGTTTGTCCAGGAATTATGAAGCTATAGTCAGCAGCCATTTATGTTAGCTTAGCACAAATACTGCAAACAGCGCAGAAAGCTAGCAGTGCTTTTCCAAAGGTAACAAAATTAACCTTCAATCGCATTTCCAGCCAAGGAATTACCACATTGTGTATTTGTTAACACACAGAGTATTTTGTTGTCTTTGGACAGAGTCAGGCTATCTGTACAATACTATGCTAACTCAACCAGTTGTATGCCGTAGCCTTAAATTGAACAATTATGAGCGTGCTATCAAGTCTGACATCTATTTTTAAAGTCGTATTTTATATTTCTGTTGTGCACTAAAGTGACACACTCTAGACCCTTTCCTGTCTTATCTCATATAGCTATCTGCCTGCTTCATCCCCATTTATCTATCAGACATATGTTGGAAAAATGGCAAAACTCAGTGTAGTACTTTTGCAATTGATCTTATGCTAGTGTTGTTTATTTATTCTGCTGGAAAAGCTTGCCACATCTCCTGCAGGTTGGAGGAATGCGTACAATCATTCTAAAAAGCCTTCCATATTTATAAATTCATTTTTTTTTATGTCACCGACACATTTAATGTGAAAATTGTCCCCGAGATGGTGCATGCAGGTGTCCCATTAGTCAGCAAAGCTCATACAATATATGCTGGAAATGGAAGCCAATTTCCTTGAAAAATCATATCTATGTCATTCTAGTCATGAAAGTGAAAGCTGCCATTTACCCAGATACTTGTTTGTGACTTGCACGATAGTGTTGCAGAAAATTATACCTCTGCCGAGGAAGGAGCAAACTGCTTGATGGTGAAAGGTTCCAACAAGGTGAAAGACTTGTGTGTTCTTTCACAATCCATAAACAGTCGAGCCACAAGGGGGGAAATTAATGGGCTTTGGAAAGGGGCCTGATGTAGAGAGAGTGCTTAAATTACCAAACCACCTGAGAGTCAAGTTAAGTGAAAGCAGCCCCAATCCCTAGTGACAAGCTTCTTCCTCATTGATATTGTATGTCTGTTTGTGCACAGCATATGTGAGAGGGATGCAAACAATTATTACCAGGGAACTTTAGAATAGTGAATAGTGTGCGTTTGTGCAAATTTGTACCAGTGTATATGTGTATATATGTCCAATTGTTCCAGCTGGAACCTTTGAATTTTGTGCTGGACATATTCACAAGGCAGCTGATTTCCTCTTTAATCATGCTTTGGTTGGATCTCAAACGCTTTGGGCTGTAGTAAATGGTATAAACATAAGGAATGTGCAACATTATATTTTCAACTAGACTTCTAGCTAACGGTAATGCTCGATAGAAGTGGTTATGTGCTTACATTAGGTTTGACTGATACAATAAGAAACGTTTAAGTACCTAGAAAATGGAAAATTTAGCGAGGGTGAGTGATTGAATTCTAACATTATTGTTTGATAATATACAATAACATTAAAAAAAATATCGTTTGCAACTGCTCTGATATGGAAAGTATGGCGTTACTTTTTAGCTAATGGTAATTCAAGCTGGGAAAGTTTTGAATGTGATGATAACACCATAGAACACAATAGAAGGGCAAAACTTAAGCATATGGCTAATTGAGCTAGGAAGTGATGAGAACATTAGCTGTTGTCTAAAAGAAGCTAATCATTTATCAAATATGTTGTTATAACTACCATATGGCTAACTGTCCTTCCAGATTCTTACTTTCCATTTTAATCCCAGTTGCTGATCGTCCTTATAACTGTACTTAAGAATGTGTCAGATATCCCCGACTTCTGACCTGGAACTCAACATTACAACATTTCAACAGATTCAGGGTTCCCATCGTAAGAGTTGTGTCAAGGGAAAATGGCTGCCAGAGGTTGTTTTTGAACACCTGTAACATTTTATCAGCTGTTCCAAAATCTCCCCTCAACATCATTAAAGCTCATACAACTTTCTTTCTTTTTGTCTTTTCTCTTTGTGTTCCCCTTTTTCCTGCTTGTCTTTCAGATTGAGTAACAGTTGTGTAGTGTTGTGCTGACTTGTCTATCCGCCTTTAACAACCAGCATCCATGCCTGTCATTCTGCTACTTCTAGTCCTTATCACTCATCCTGCTGCCGAACAAACTATTGAGACCCGCCTATTCTTACATTGACAAGCTGTCACTCTTCTCCTTCCATCTTTTGGCTTGGTCCTGCTTGCCACATCGCTCCTGTTTAATTCTGTTTTCTTTATGGTCGCTTAGTGCTCTCCACGCATGGTTAGAATACCAGAACATGTTCTTTAATTTAAAAATCATATTCTGAAAGCGCTTCAGGGGTCAGTGAACATACCACTGCATTCTTTTGATTTATTAATGAAGGATGCATTAATATTAATGGGTATTCAAGGACAGTTATCATTTGAATTAATATGCATTATAGAGAAATGCAGAAGCCTACGACGGAATAATGATGTAAAATTTGTAGATGGAAATGTCATATAAGCCATAAATTGTTGTCGGTGATCAGCTTAGTGATCCTTGGATCCCCAAGTCTTGTATTATCTTTCTTGGACAGAAGTTGAAGTGCAGCTGTACTTTCCCTCTCATTCAAACTGTTAAGAGCTCAATTGCTGCTAGCCTATTTGCTAAGCTTGTTATAAATATTTTATCTTGTATCACTCAGAAGGTTTTTCCTGGAAGCCAAGTTTTTTTAGAGTAGTCCTCTACAGTGGCTGGGAAGTTCAAACCCAAATTACAAAGTTTGGAATACTTTTGCAAAGCTTGAGACAAATTTACATTTTGGAAAACATTTTATATAAAAAATGACTAAAGCACTTTCATAAAGAACAAAAGAGATTTACATTTTAGACACAGAAGTGAATCTTGGCCAAAAGGGAATGTACCAATTGCCAGAAGTGACCCAGGAGTGACAGAGTGAGCTGTCAATAAGTTTGTTTTGAGAGCAATGACTGTGGGAAATGTGTTATAGGAGTAAATGCTGACCCAATGATGTTTTGTCTGTTTTGCGGAACACACCTGAACCGTCAACGCAGTCTGTTTGTCAAAACAAAACTGACGGCTCACTAAGTCACTTCCAGGTCACTGGAATCGACAAGATTTTGCTGATTGTAAATCTGTATCAGCGCTCGTAAAAGTTTTTTCGCGTTTTGTAAATTTGTTTTATAAAATGTCAAAATGTTTTCCAAAATGTAAATTGGTCTCAAACTTTGCAAAAGTGTTTCACACTTTGTAATTTTTGGTTTGTACTTCCCAGCCACTGTAGTCCTCTTCTAAAAAGCAACAGGCCCAATGATCATGCATAATAAAAAAAAAGAATAAAGCATCCCGTCAATTATGAGTGTCTTTCTGACATTCTACTGACTGCAAGCTGAGCTGCCAGACGTTTATTCTAACACTTTACCTGATTGAATTTAATGCTAAAAAAAATAATATACAGGACTTGTAACAAAAAAAAGTAGTCTCCTGCAGATCTTTTGTTGTCTAGTCGGTTGGTGTTATGAGACAGCAGTAGATGTGAGTCATTCCTATGTCACTTCCTCCTGGATCATTTTGTAAAATAGTGACAAAAATAAGTTAAAAGGGATTTTTTTTATATCGCACCAAAATATGCACAAAAACCTTGTTTTTCCTGCAGTATCCAGGTCCTATAAGAATTTACAACCAATGACTCTCCCTGACACCGGGTTTCAGTTGCCATGTCAAAGTACATTTACACAACTCCATCACCAGGATTTACTTCAGCGTGTCTCATTTCTCCACTCAGCTTTGTGGGCAGCCCATCTCACTGTGACCTTGAGCTGTGTGTTACCTGAACACAAGCCATGCCATTGTTTCCACAGTGCAGGAATAGTACTACAGGGTGATGTAGAGCCAATTTACTCTACAATAGCCCGCTGTAAAGTCTGGAAGCTCAGCAGTGTAGCTTTATGGACTCGTGAGCATCATTGTGTCACTTAGCAAACTTTAAAAGAGACATTCGATCGTTGCATTGCAGATTTCATCTCTTTGAATAACAGATTTCATCTAAAATCCAGAAAAAGAAGAAAGGTTGATCTTAAAGTAAGGGAAAACGTTAAATCTTTTGTAGTAAACAAGTCCAAGAAAATCCATGAAACCCATGAAACTGTCCTGGATAAAAGTGAACTCTGAAAAAGTGTGTTTTCATTGTTTACTGTTTGGCCTGAGGAACCGATTGAGTGCACGTTACTCTGGAACTTTAAAGCAGATCATTAAGAATCTCACACATCTCTGACCTTCCACCAGCACATTTAGAGTTGTGGCTTTAAGAACAAGTTAATCATTATTTTTTATTATTTGCCAGAATGACCAAGCAGACGGCCAAGGTCTGCTTAACTAAAAGAAAACATGAAAAAACTGATGAGTGAAAACACTTCAAACATTACCACTGTGGTGTATTTTGTTTTGATTATATTACACAGGCAAATTCATTTTCTTTTACAACGTCCTTGGAGGTAAGGACAGGTTCAGTGCAGCTAAATCACTCTATAGTGAATGTACTCTGCAATAGTACTGCAGCAGTCTATGCAGTTTTTTTCTTCTGGTTTTCTGGTTGTGAAAGTGAACACTGCTGCTTAAACTTTAAGATTGAAACTTTTCCTCTGGGCCTTAAGGGATTAAATAGAAACCATAATCTAAATCCTGTACACGGTCATTATTTAATAATGAATCTGCCGTGGTACCATGTGCACTGAAAAGAGTCTACGGTACTTGGAAGATGTCTGATATATATATGACATCACTATTAGCACACTCACCGTGCAGACAGATCAAGCCAAAGTCAAATATGACAGCATGTCCCATCGGTGAATATAGGAAAACTTCTACAGAATGTGAAACCAATCTCAATGTACTGTAGGCCTCTGTAGAAGATGATACAGAATGTGTGCTGTGATGCTGGGTTGAGTAATTGTGATTACCACACCATATTTTCTTTGCTTTTCCAGGCTGTTAATTAGAGAGTCACTGATAATAGAATGAATTAAAGCTCCGCCTGGAAAGAGCTGGAGCATTAGTGTTAATAAGGTATAAAATCAGGGCCTTTAATGTGTTAACCTAAGTGACTTTTATTCCTTTAGTTGATATCAGTTTCTTTTTTTACTGTACTCAGGAGAAAATTAAACAGACTGAGTAGACGAGGCGTTAAGTGCAACACAAAGTATGAACCATATCAATGCATTAAAAGTAGTGTTAACATTCTGTGAGCTTTATATTGACCCTCCCTCGAGGTTCAGAAGGTACACTGTCACTAAAGATCAGCATGCTGCTCCACAGAGACAACACAAGCACAGCTACCTTCCCCACTGTCACAACAAAGCACCGCTGCTCTTTAGATATCTGCAAATGTTTGGACTGATGAAATGTAGATTTCATTTATAAACCATGACTGCAACCCGGAGGAAAGCTAGACACACGACTGTCTAATAATGTGTTTATATGTGAGGGACTTTTGGTGCATGGTGATTACTGTTTGAGCACAAAATGAAGCGATCACAATCTAATCACAGCTATGGACCATCTAAGCTTCTTCAGATAAAAAAAAAAAATATATTACATGCAGACTGAATCAACCCTCTAACTTTATATATATGCAAAGACTGTGAAATGTTTTTTTTCTCCCTTTTCCTGCATTTTTCATTTGCCGCACTTGTTTTCTTTGATTAATACATATTTGAGGTCCTTATTTGAGCAACCATTTTGCACACACTTTATTAATACAAAAGTCTACCACCGCCAGCTCTTAGTGCTGCAGATTAGTGGCGTTTCATCTCTCTGCAAGTGAGACCTCAAAAAATAGTCTTACCCAAGTGCCTTCCTCAAAGTATAGGAATGGGTTCAATTGATCTAATAGTCAATAAGCCTACTTTCCCCACCAACTGTCCCCTGGAGGCCCATTCATCTCATCTGCAGACAGCTGAAGCTCAGGCTGAACAGATATACAGCCCACTGACGTCCATACTGCTGACTGAGGGGGGACAGTTTGTGAGGAGGACCCTGACTATATCAGAAAACACACACACACACACACACACACACACACACACACACACACACACACACACACACACACACACACACACACACACACACACACACACACACACACACAAACACTGCGGATAAAAAAGGAACAGCGATGATAGAAAAAAAAAGTGTTGAGGACCAATTCAGCTCTAAGGAAGTTGCTGCAGGGGCAAATGAAAATGGTAACCCTAAAACCATAGACTCTGCAAATCGTAGAGACCCCCAGGGAGTGCAATCAATTTTTGAGATGAATGGAAATTCAATGCATGACTTGGAAAGCACTCATAAAACATAATGGGCTATTTCAGAACAAATTAAGTAACTGCCAATTAGCCTCAACGTTGATAATGGCGTTCACAGACTTCAGGTGAAAATAGAAAGGGGAAAAGTGTGCCTACTTTTGTGGTGATTTTTTTTTATTTTACGTTTGTGTTGTCCTACCTTGATGAGTTTGCACCTGATCTGTGCGGACACCATGTGGCTGTTCCGCAGGTTCCCCACGCGGAACATGAGGCACAACTTCCCGTCCCGCTGCGAAATCACCGCGTCCTGGCTGAACATCAGCGTCTCTGCGCGCTTCTTTGGCTGGGACATCTTTATGAACATGCAGCCGATGAGGAAGGCATCCACGATGGAGCCCAGCAGCGACTGGAAGAGGAAGAGGATGATACCCTCGGGGCACTTCTCGGTGATGTAGCGGTAGCCGTAGCCGATGGTCGCCTCCGTCTTTTCTTCTTCACCTGGGCGGAAAAAGTAATGCCCTGGCTGGTGTTCACCACCTGGTAGTCCTCTCCGAATTTCCTCCGTATGGCTGACATTGTATGAATCACCTATAGTCTAATTAGCCCACTTGTGCAGAATCCGGCTCTTTACGCAAGTTTGGCACCCCCTTCCCAAAACCATTCAAAAGGAATCAGCGCGCGTCTCGCATCCTGTAAGATGAAGATGCTCCTCTCTCCCGTAAGTGAATCGCAAGTGACCAGAGATTCTGCGCACCGCATGATTTAGACTCACTCTTTTACGCACAGAAGTCCACTGTTCATCCATAAAGATCAAATAAACCAATTTAAAGTTGCCTTTAAAAAAAAGAAAGAAAAAAAGCTGTATTCAGATAACTCCACTGCAAGACTGCATGCGTCCTTGGCAGATCCACTGAGGTGTCGCCATTCAGTTAAGATGTGTACATAAACAGCAGCTACAGTGCGCACTGTCCTCCTGACAGGAACACGGTACTGTGGGAGTGACTACTGTTTCAAGAGTGAACACGAACTGCCGCACATTTGCCCTTACAGAAAGGTGGGTGGGACTGTGTGTGTGTGTGTGTGTGTGTGTGTGTGTGTGTGTGCGTGTGTGTGCGTGCGTGTGTGACTGTGTGCGTGTGTGCGTGTGTGAGAGAGAGAGAGAGGGTGATAGGTTGCTAGAAATGGAATTGTTTTTTTTCTTTCTTTATTGTTCTGTGTATCGCATTGCTAGTGTGAACGTGTATTCAACCCCTTTTTCTTCGTTTGGAGGTATTTCTTTCTTTCTATTTAATTACCAACACTGTTAAACGATTTCCGATTGCATACTTAATCATACTCCATCTCAAGGATAAGACTGAACTGTAAGAGCCATCTTGTAATCGCTGGTGGCTCTTTGATTCCCCCTAGTGTTTCCTCAGTGGAAGTGAGCTTGAGACTGAGCCAATATCGAGGTATTTCTTTCTTTCTATTTAATTACCAACACTGTTAAACGATTTCCGATTGCATACTTAATCATACTCCATCTCAAGGATAAGACTGAACTGTAAGAGCCATCTTGTAATCGCTGGTGGCTCTTTGATTCCCCCTAGTGTTTCCTCAGTGGAAGTGAGCTTGAGACTGAGCCAATATCGTCAGATGCAGTAGCCTATGAACTGCATTCATAACGATACTGCATTTAAGTGACTGTTTCAGGTTGTCGATGAAGAAATTACTCAGCAAATCTTCATATTCACTCGGATCTCAGGATGGTCGTTCAGAAAACGTCTCTAAACAAACGTAACACACAACTCATTGTGGGAATATCCTGTTGAATTATTTGTCATTTATTTAGTAGGCCTATATTAGTAAAAGGTAGCTACAAGGCTATATATGCACTCTTGCACAAAAGAAGAACTATTTTTACCTTCAAAAAACACTTTCCCCAGAGTCCACACGGTAAATAAGACATCTAAGTATACTCATATACTCAAATATAGATAAAATATAGATATAAATAAATGTGATCAACTGCCAAAGAGCACAGTGATCTACTGTATTGAGTTTGTTCAGTAAAAAAAATGGCGACAGTAGGCCTACTTTGATTGCATGTGCAGTTACTTATAAGTATTAACAGAAGCAGCTCTTTTTTTTTTTTTTACTGTGGGTAGGCTGACCAAAGTTTGATAGAGTCAGCATTTCTAATATGGCGACCACTATGCATTGGCTTCAGAAACTGACGTCACTCCGGCTTCATCCATCAATATTTACAGTCTAGGTGTAACTACAGTGGCGTACAAGGGCAAGCCACCTGCAACAGCTGACATGTAATACATTAGGGAAAACAAACATATTCAGAAAATGATGTTAATTCAAAAATATATATTTTTTAAAGTGTCCAACCACCTGTGTTCAAAGTCCAAATGATTATAGCTCCATGCATCCTGCCCGATCAGAAATACCGCTTAGCTGTCTGATCCTGGATGGACTCACACTGAATTGATGCATTTGTTTTGATACTTGCAGCTGCTTTTGAATTAATATTCTTAATTATCTGCTAGTTATTTCAAATGTTTTTTTTGTCCGTTGCAGGTCTGTTGCCCTTGGCGGCCACCGTACAGAATAATACCTTTTTCTTGCAGACAGGAGGTGAAAAAGGACCCTTCGGATTCAAATTTAGACCAATACTAAATAGATGGAACACAACAAATAACTTTGGCTTGTTGTCAAAGCTATTCACACATTTGTAATATGTAATCATCTCTGTGCTCTTCAAGGATTATGTAGCTTAGAGCAGCGCTGTGATCAATACAACATTGTTCAGATTATTTTTTACCAGCTGTGAGATAAAGGATCTAGTCCCAAGTGGAATATTTAGATGGACTAAGGAGAATTTTGTAACATTTTGATTAGCTTTAGCTGCTTCATTATCGTCTAACGCTCCAGCAACGCATGCCATTTTGATTAACTGCAAACAAAAGGCGCATGAGGCGGATGGAGCGTACTGAAAGAGGAAAACATCCAGCTGGACTTACTCCCGTGTGCCAGCAGGAAATGAAATGTCCCACACAATGAGCTTTTCAGGGGTTAGTTTACAAATTTAGTGACTTGTATAACATATTCATTGGCTGAAGTAGTTTGGATTTGGAAGTAATGAAGTATTTTGGATTTGGAAATAATGATGAAGAATAACTTTGGTAAAAACAGCAAAATGTGGGACTTGAACTCAGGCCATACAAAAATCAAAATGTCTGCTGAGTTGTGCGTTGATTTGAACCTTCACACGATAATGGGTGCCATGGACTGAAGAGGCTTTGTTTTTTGATCAGAAATATGATATGATTCACCAAACAGACACACTTACAGGATGAATCAGCCTACTTGTATCTCTGAGGTAATTCAGGCAATAGACGAGTCATCTGATGAGTCAACACTAATATAATGCGCCACAGAGTCACATTGAACTGTTTACATACTCATTTATTGACCTTTTTAAATAATCTCTTTTTCACTTTATGCAAGAACTGACTCTCTCACCTTGATCTTGTGACTTTAGCTCTTTGAGTGGATCATATTCTGTAAGTGATTCAACATGGAGTGTTTTTCTCTTTCGAGTGCTTTGTGCGAGACTCTTGCCAGAATATACTTTTTCTGTGCTTCAAGAATTGCACAATTAAAAAGTTAGGACAAATGTCTTAACTTTTCTTTTATAATCTGACATTAGATAACAAATGCAAGTATCCCCGTGAAAATAGAAAAACTCTGAAGGATTATCATGTATCATCAAAATAGCTATTCCATCTACCCAGGTAAAATGTGCTGCCACAAAATGTATCATCGAATCTATGAAACACCAATAAATGTTTTCTGCTCAATCATTGGAATAACACAGCAAAGTAAAACAAAACAGACTCAAAAACGTACTAATGCAATAGAGTCTAAACTGGTTATAAAAACAGAAAGAGTTGCAGTCTTTACTTTACACATGGATTTCTCATGGCCAGATACACTTTTTAAAAGACCTCAGGGCAAACATTAGGCCTATATTGACCCCACAATCACCATTTATGAATGAATATATACAGAGGTATACCGTAATACACCCATCCTGCAAGAGGGATTTCAACAAATTAGACGTTTAACATCTGTAAAACAATATCTCTGTAACCATCACCCATCATAAACTATATGACAGTTCCTGCATTAATTTATCAGGTCATCATCACATCAATAATTATAAAAAAAAATACATATATTTCAGTTTATTATATTACTATTGATATGTAAACCTAAATAGTCAAATATTGTTGTATTTATTTGAACTTTCTGTATATATCTTATCCATGGGACTATAAATATCTAGTAGGTGTGTTGACTAATATCATTCTTTGGTCTATATTCATATATTCCTGCAATCATGCCATGTGATAATTCTGTTTTAATTTTGACTGCTCTGCAATTATACTGCAACATTTCTTATCTTAGTCTTATAAATCTACACACCATGTGTGTTTTCAAAATGTTAGTTCAATTTTATGCACAGCAAAATAACCTCCAAGTGTCTACCTACAAGGCAAAAAGTGTAAATTGTGTCTAGTTTCTAAAATACTTTTCAAATTTATGTTTCAAAAAACTATAGTTTATTGTCCCTTGTATTTTCTATAATCAGCACTTGATTACTATATTTAATTTCCTCTTTTTATAGGCTGCTGTAATAAGTGAATTTCCCCTGTGGGGATCAATAAAAGTAATCTTTTCTTATCTTAAAAATGGGTTTAAAATAGATTTACACGAGTTTCTTCTACATGACATATAGTAGGACAAACTTTATTTGAAATTCTTTGGTGAAATTTGTTGTGTTTTAAATGTAAAGAAATCAGTTCAGAGTTGTCCTCTTTGGCTTGCTGTTTATCCAGGGCTGAATTTGACCTACACGATGGACCAATCTGATACACATAATGGCAGATAATGGCCTCATAATTTCATCAGGCAACTGGATAATGTGACAAATTCACACTTCAAACAGATTCTCACCCAATGTCATAAAAACGGCATAATCCTTGGCCTTGTGTTACCTGAGCTGATTAAAATGATCCTAATAGGTCCCACAGAGTGAGCTATTTTAACATAATTCCAAAAAAATACGGCACTGGTGTCATATAATTCATTTGTAATGAGTGTGAAACTTCCCTAAGCAAGTCTCCATTATAGCCTATGTTGCAGGTGATCAGGCTTTACTTTGCAATCTTATGTATAGAGGGTAGGGATGTAGAGATGAATCGTGAGGCAGTTAAAAATGGATTCAAAGGAGTCACGGTTCACATCGGAACTCTGAAAAAATAATCGCAATAGCTGCAGAGCACGATTTTGAAATTGTGTGTAAGCATTTTGGCTTCCCCAAGACAGAAAATGAAAGAGGGGAGAAGATAACAGACAAGACAAAAACATGTGTGCAAATATTGCAAGAAGACAGGGAACTACACAAACAGCTCAACCAATATGATGCAGCATTTAATCGACACCAAACCACACTGACAAGTGGGTTTGCAGCCCCATTCGCCCCAAAACTGTCCTCAGTCTCATTTTGTAAAATAAATCGTGTGAGAATCGTATCATGAACCCAGTATCGTGAATCGTATTATGAGTTGAGTGAATCATTACATCCCTAATAGACAGGGATGAAACGGGACATACTTTCACATCATTATGAAAGTATCATTATTATAGGTATTGCTGTTATTGCTAATATAAGTCTTATTTTGATTGTTATTGGCATTGCTATAATAACTCTTTATTATCTGATGTTATGTTTCTTACTGTTTGCAAGTCTCACTGACTATCTGTTTGTCTTTCTGTTTCTTTGCCACTTTCACGACCCCAGTTGGTTGAGCCAGATGACTGTCCACCAGTGAGTCTGGTTCTGCTCAAGGTATTTGCCTATGAAAAGGAATATATCATTGCTATTATAACCATGTGCAAGCTGGTTGGTGTTTAAAGTCGGGTCCCTGTGAATATAATTTAAATGAGTAAGCCTATAGACCTTTTTGCTGATTAGACAATAACGATAATAACTGACTGATTGAATACCATGAAGCCATATGAACACACTAATTCAAACCATCATTTACAAAGTCCCTGTGAGACACAAGCATTCAATTTAAAGACAGTTGCAACATTTGATGCCGGGCGGGGTAACACATGGCGCAATTTGTATTCAAGATCCTAATAGGGTCCATCAAAACAGACATTATACTCCCTGAGCCCATAAAAACTAATAGAAATTCAAGAAAACTGAAAAAAAGACTCCGATAGGCTTAAGTAAAACACTCAACGTGTAAAAAAAAAAAAAATGTTCATATACATACATACATATATATATATATAAATGTTTCATATATCAAACTGTATTGTGGGCTCATGTTTTTTTTTTGTATGGGTGGGATATGTGTGTTGTGTTGTGTGTTTGTATGTTATGCTGGCTGCTGGAACACCTAAATTTCCCTGCTGGAATGAATAAATTATATCTTATCTTTATCTTATTACGTCCAAGCAAAGCAAAAGAATTGCAGCAGCAGCAACGCCATTGCAGTGTGTGTGTGTGTGTGTTCATGTTAATGTGCCCTGTGCGTGTGTGTGTGTGTGTGCGTGTGTTTACATTACTACAGAGCTTCTTGCGTTGTCCAGTCAGCAGCTTCTCAGCAGCAGCAGCCCCTTCGCACTCTTGTCTCCTCTCACGACCCGTCCCTCTCTGCCAACCCAGAATTCCCCGCGCCAAGACAAGATGGAAGAAAGCAGCCACCGCCGGAGAACAATGTTTTGGCAATAAAAAAAAAAATAAAAAAAAAAACCTCCACGAAAAAGCGGCGAATACGGAGAAAAATACAGGCACGTTTTTTTTTTTTTTTTGAGGAAAACCATCTGCTGTCATGTGTACGTAAGAAAGGAAACTAAATTGCTTCTTCTTCTTTTTTTTTTTTTGTTTTGTTCTTTGTGTGTAAGTAGTGTCGGCGCAAAAGCGGAGACGCGTTGAGACCCAGCATCATTGTTTCTGTTGCATGGGCCGTAATGCGGGTTTTCTAGCGGCTAACTAGCTAGCTCATGGCAGAGAGCTTGATTGTTATAAACACAGCTTTTGCCTCAAGCCTCAAAGGGTACGGGTTTTTTTTTAATTTATTTATTTAGACCCCGGTCATTGGATCTGAGGTCCACATGTGTTGCTAAATCGGTAAGCATCATTGAGGTGTATTTACAGCTAAAGGGTAAGCTAACAATAACTAGAGGCGCCAGACAGGATTTGATTTCACGACCGTCATCGAAAGCTTGCAAAGTGGAGCGATTTTTTTTATTTTTGCCACTCACTTTGAAGCAAACTCACACTTTTAATGTCTTCTTACAATGTGTGTTTCCATAGTTAGTCATTTATTGTAGATTTTGCACTGATCTCACGCTCAGTTTCTGACTCATTTTTGATGCCTTCAAAATCGTGCAGCATTTTTTTTTGTGTAGCATTAGCTCGAGGTTAGGTAACACGCTGCGTTACTTTCTGCTTCATGAAGGGATTAAAAATGTGGAAGAAGAATAAATTACTACGACTGCGGGTTGTTTCATGACACACCTTTTCTTTTTAGTGTTATCCGACTTTATTATAGTGTCTTGGGGGTTTTTGTGGGACTCGTAAAGCCGATTTGTTTTGATCGAGGACGGCGTAAAGGTGCGTTGATTGTGTCTCATTGTCGCTACCAGAATGCTAACTAGCCGGCTAACTATTATGCATCACCAAAAAAAAAAAAAAAAAAGCTCATCCGGATTCAGTGTCGTGGAGACAAATGGTCGTGCTGAGCTAGGAAGAACCAAACAATACATTCACACTTCGGTCGTGTTTCTTTTCCACGTAAAGTCGTAGTCATCCGACTGAGCATGACTGGAAATGTCTGGCTTGATTTGACCTAAATATTTGTTTTAGGGAAGTGTAGTGGAGCGACTAATGCGCAGATATTGCCTTCAATATCCCCCCCCCCCCTCTTAAGACTTCTGCGTTCACGTTGGGTAATAAACACACGATGGTTGTGATCACTAACATTCATCAAAGTGTGAAAACAACAGGGCACTGCTTACTACACAGATTTATTTTGGCTTCAATCCAAGTCACATGTGCTAAATGTCGCAGGTAGAACAATGCAGGACGCTGATCATCAAATCTACAAGCTCCTTTTCGCTTCATATAATAAACCCAATACGTGTTGTAGTGAGAACATTTGTTTTATTGGATAACTACACATTTCTTAGTCGCTACAGATTTTTTTTTAATTCATTTGTAATGCATGTCTTGTTGAGCTTCTTTAAGCAGTTCTCTTTTATAAATACCAAGGTATTCATTCACTGCGTTGCAATTCTTATTTCTGTGTCTAGAGGAACCTTGATTTTTTTTTTTTTATTCCTTTTCCTGTGATGTGTAACAGTCAAAAGAGGTTCTTGGTTACCTCTTCCTCCACACTTCATCAGTAGTAGTTATTAATGGCACTGCTTACTTTTACAGTGTGCTTTTCTGTAGTCCGCAAAGCAGCACTGGGCAATTTATGAATTCTTTTTATTTTGTAATTTAAGATATTTGTCATGATTAACTGTTTTTCTCAGGGTAAATGAAACTGATTTTTTTTTTGCAGTACTGATTAAGGTCTCTGTACTTGCCTTGCTCAGTGTTACTTTAGGTAAAGCCTAATACATCCAATTAAGTAATTAATGGAGGACTGAGAAAATTCAGAGAACATTAGTGCAGGCAGTACACAACTGGATGTCTGTATGGCAGTGACTAAATTCTCTGAAGACCTAAATTGGATCAGATGTTAGAAGAGAGACCTAGAAATGTGTCTACAAATAGAGTCTGAAATAAATCCATACTTAATCAATTAATGCTCAACTTAACTTTATTCTTCTCTCTCTTTCAGGATTTTCTTCTCCTGCATTCCTCTTTAGATCAATTGTCCTCCTTCTTCCCTGCAAAAAGCTAAACAACCGCCATGAGTATTATCCAGGACAAATTAAGCAATGAATTTTTGCGCAATGGTGGCATGGACCCCAACTTTGCACCAGGTATGCTTATGTTCAGCCACCTGCCCCCTGTCACCAGCTTCACACGACTGGCCTCCCAATCGGTAATGGGCGAGCTTCCCCAGGAGATGATCCTGAAGAAAGAACGTGACTCGCCCCCTGAAAACCAGGGCGCCACCGCTGTAAACACAGGGGGCTTCCTCCACAGCATGGGCATTAAGCAGGAGAGGTTGAGTGAGTTGGATTACCGCATGCCCCTCTATGGCGGGGGTGGAGGAATCGGGTTGAACTGTGTTGGAGGGGGCGCGGGGAAGAGTGGTAGCGACATGCAGGACATGTCTTTTGGCAACCACCACCAAAATCACCAGAACATGCTGCTCCATGATCTCAGCCTCAGCAACGTTCGCAACCTTGGAGAGCCGGTAAGAAAGGATTTGTTTTATAAATGTGTCAAGGAATAGTTTGGGGATATTTAGTCGAACACATTTATCTTCCAGTTTCAATCTTGACCGTTTCAGCAGGAAGTGTAATGTTTAGGCTTTTCGTGATGTACCATTGTTTCCCTTATAAATCAGTCAGTATTGCCTTTATATGCCATTTATAGACTGTTATATATACATAACATGTGTTTTGTCCTCAGATGCCTGGAAGATCTGGTAAAGAGCCAAAAGAGTCCTCAGGTAGAAGAGGGCGGAGGAGCAATGGTGACGGGGCAGGGAGGCAAAGCACGAAGGAAACGCAACGATGCTGCAAAGGTAAATAATGTACCCGGTTTCTTCTACTAAGCTAAAAACAAAATCTTAGTGCACAAAAAGAGTGTTCCCATGGTCTGGATACATGTAATTGAAATAGTGTGAGCTGAGCTTATGTACTTTTTTATTTTGTTTATTTTTTTTACACCTTCAGTTTTGAAACACTTGTATTGATGTCTGTTTTCCTTTTAGGCCATGATGATGGATGCAGATGGAGCTTGCCTTTCACCCAACTCGAAACCACATATCTGTGAGCACTGTAACGCTGCCTTCCGCAGCTCCTACCACTTGCGCAGACATGTGCTCATACACACAGGTGAGAGACTTTCACTGCTCCTCAGTGCTTTGCTTTTCCCATAAGCTTATTTCCCTGCAGTTCTGAAAGTTGAGAAGTAAAAACCAAATAAATCCACTAATCGCTCACACTGAAGGATATATCTCTTTCGTAAAAAAAAAAAAAAAACAACCCCAGGAGATTGATATAAAGAACAACAAGATCATCTGCTCTCTGCCATGATTTAGCCTGACAAGACTTGTCAGACTGAATTATAGCTGATAACTTGTAATATTACCATTCTTGTGAATGTTTCTGTTGATCAAATATACAGCCAAAGATCAATGTGCATGGAATCTGCTATAATGCTTTTTTTAACAAAGGAAACGAAAGCTCAATTTACCATTATAATGATACAATAATAATCAAATACATTTCCGACATTAACTGAACTCTGCAGTACAGCTTGGGGCCCTGTTTCAAATCAGACAGTGACTAGAGCCTGCAATGACTCAACGATTACTCATGTATTTCTGGGTATCTTAGTCAACGGCTTTGCTGGGAATTCCTCATTTGGCTCTTTGATCTTGAGCTTTAACACAATTTAAAGGGCAGATGTATATTCTTTCCCCCCTCAAATTTACACATTTCTGCCCGAGTGTAAATTTATTGGACCTTAAATCTCTGCACCCTATATGGTTGATATATTTTCATGCATTTTCGTGTCCTTTTAAAGGGGTCTTTTGCTACTTTCAGCAATGAATGCATTTCATAGTTCCTTTATCATATGTGCATTTATTGTGTTACACTGGCTACTGTGTCAGTTCATTACATATTTTTTTGTGTATTCTAACACTAAGAGTTACATTTATTTTTTATTGTGACCATGTGAGAAACAATATTTTTGAAAGCTGGGCGTTAATTAATGTGATGCGCGAATGGTCGTACTCTTGATCGTACAGGTGAGAGGCCTTTCCGGTGCAGTCAGTGTAACATGAGCTTCATCCAGAAGTACCTGCTCCAGCGGCACGAGAAGATCCACAGTGGTGAGTTTCTACACTTTGGGTGTAGAGTTGACTGAAATCCATTGGAATGACTCACCTTCACATGCTACCAACAGCATCAGTTGCGACACAACCCTCAACATAGTCTCATCTGTCTTTTCACAGGAGAGAAGCCTTTCAGCTGTGACCAGTGTAACATGCGTTTTATACAGAAGTACCATATGGAGCGGCACAAAAGGACACACAGCGGCGAGAAGCCATATCGCTGCGATACCTGCCAACAAGTAGGCTACATGTTGTCTCTGTGCTAAGTAGCTTACTACTGTTTTGCCTTTTAACCCAATGTAGTGAGCTAGTTGACTTTTTATTTCTTCACTGCTTTTTTATTTGTGTATTTATTTTCAAATAGTATGGATAAGTAGTGTAATTGTCATTAGCATTTACCTTTCTCTACTCCCCACACTAAAGCCCTTACTGGAGCCATGTCTCAATGGGATTAGTTGTGTCACAAAAGGTCCTGGAATAAAATGTTCTCTCTTGTAATTCTGTTGCTAAGAATGTAGCTTCCCTCTTCAGTAAACTTTGTTATTGAAGGATTGAAGGGCTTTGCAAACCATTGTAGACTAAGCTTGCATTTCTCTTCTCCCTGTCTGTCATCCTTTTGCCCACTTCTAGTTTTTCTCAAGAACAGACCGGTTACTGAAGCACAAACGAACTTGTGGAGAAGCCATAAAGAAGGGCCTGGACCCGAGCATGCTGGAGCTCAGCGAGGCAGAGCTAGGCCACGGCAGCTATTCACTTACTCAGGGAAACTCTACCACCTCCGGACGCAAGAGGGCCAAGTCCAAAAATGGCGAGGGCGGTGAGCGCAAGAGGAAGAAAAATGCCTCGGCATCAATGGCAGCGGCCTCATCTTCTGGGGGGATGGCCCGTGACCTGGGCCTTCAGGACTTTAGCATGGAGCATCCCTCGGGCTCTGGCCCCACCATGCAGGGACGCACTCCCAAGTTGGTCTTTAAAAAAGCCGGACGCAAGGGCTTGGACAAGGGTCTTCTCTCTCTGGAGGACAGTGTAGATGGACAAAAACATTTGGGCCAGAAGCCAAACTCCATGGATCACGTGGAGGCTTCTGGCCTTGAGAACATGGGTCTACTCCAGGGAACAGGGGGTAACAAGCAGGGGCCCACCACCACCAGCAACTACGATGATGCAATGCAGTTCGTGAAAAAGCGGCGCTACCTCCATGCAGTTAACAATGACTATGGAGCCGGCTCACTGCACATGGCACCCCAGGGAAGTAGTGTAATCCAGGGCTCCCTTGGGCCTGAACCCACGCTGGCCATGCTGGACTCCTCGCCTTTGGATCTAAAGCATGACAAGTCGGGCATTCCAGATGAGGTACTTCAGAGCCTGCTAGACCATTATAGCCATAAACAAGAGGGGACACACCACCACGATGTGACTTTCGACCTGTCGGACCATCCGCACCACGTCGACCTGCAGCCGGCAGCCCCTGTGACCCCTGAGCTGGAGGATGACTCGCCACACGGTGGGGAAAAGACAGCGGTGATGAGCGAGTACTCAAAGTTCCTCCTTCAAGCCCTGGAGCGCACCAGCCATAGTGGACCCTTCCCCAGCCTTGGCCCTACGGGGCCTTTCCCACTCCTGTCAAGCAGCTCCAGTCCCACAGGGCCCCTGTTCTCTGACAAACACGTGTATGCCACATCCCCGCTGGATTGTGTCTACCCGCCTGCTGTATCCTCCCCACTGCCCATTGTCGCCCCCTCTTCGGTCTCCTCCTCTTCCTCATCCAAGTCGCATTATGGCATGCTTGTTGGCTCCCCTTCCCAGGCAGGCTACCACCTCAGCTTAGAATCTACAAGCCACCAGCAGCTGACTCCATCTCAGGAGCTGACCGAGCAGTTGGAGAAGCAGCACTCGCCCAGCGCCTTCAACCTACCTCCCCAGGACCTGACTGCCCAGGCAGACGGCTCCAAGGGGCAACAGCCTAAGGCAGGAGGGAGCTCTGCACCCACCAACGGCTCCAGCTACCCAGACCTGTCCCCGCTGAATCCCCCTAAAGAAACCACCTATCAAATCGAGAACTTCGCCCAAGCCTTCGGCTCCCAGTTCAAGTCAGGGCGGGGAACCCCTCTGGGCTACGGCAGTGATCCTGGGTCAGAGGTGGACCACCGAATACGGACTCCGGTGTCAGAATTCTCAGGGTATACAAGTTTGTTAGCTGACGTCAGTGAGCCAGTGAGTACAGGATCAAAAACCCCGACAAGCCAAAGTTTCAGATAAGGGTCAAGCGAGGTGAATCCAGTAGGGGGCTGTTCTGTTGCTGTCCATACGGTCCCCTTACCCATCCTAATTTTGTTCTTGTAGCAAAGTTTTTTTAAACACTGCCATTAAATGTTGATACAAAAATGACCAGGGAGGGTCTTCCATGGCCTCAAATGCAATTTTTTAAAATATTCTCATTTTTATTATGTATTTAGTCACTCAAAATTTTGTTTAAGAGTAGTGTTTTTGATATGAACGTACCGTAGATTTAAATGTAATTTAAAACATTTAGAGGGTAGCTATAAACTTGCTTGATTTTTTTTTTTTTTCTTTCTCTGAACTATTGTGTTTTACCAATCATCATACCATTGTAAAGTAATAATGAATAATGTTGATGATTTCAATAATAATAACATTTGTGGCAGGGAAAGGCCCAGAATTCAAATGGCAAAAAAGTATATATTGTCTGTTACAAGAAACGTATTAACTCAGGAAAATAGGCAAAATTGTGTAATAAGACTTTGTATTATGAGATGCAATTAGCACAGTTTTTACAGGTGTACTTTGAGACTACAAAGCTTTGATTTTGTTTTTGTGTTTTGTTTCGTTTAAACTCGTCAGAACAAATTTCAATACATGATCATGTTCAGATTCTGCTGCGTGTAGCTTTGTTGAGATTATGGTACTGTTGTGTCAAAGTAAAGACATCCACATTTTTTTTTTTTTTAGAGAGCCACATTTCATACACGGGGTAGTGTTAAATAGTTGTGGAGTTCAGGCCATGTTGTACACACAGCATGATCTGAAGTGAAGAGGATGTTATAAACAAAGCTTGACTGGTGATTTGTCAGTGTGAGGCATCAACTGATGATGCCTGTGGCCAGTTAGATAAAACAAAGCTTAGATTCATTGAAATCTCATTGCTGATACAGCTTTCTGAAACAACATCAGTTTATTACTGAAATGATTTCTTTCATTTCTAACAAAAAAAAGAAGAAAGTCACCACTTTTCTACTCCACGCCTTGCTGTTCTTTTTTTTTTTTTTTTTTTTCTGTCAGTGGAATCAAACAAGCACTTTTTAAACAAATCATTGGAAACAACAACCCATTCAATTAGCATACTTGATCCGTGAATATTATGCGTATGGTTATTATATTATTTTAAGAGGAAAAAACTGTGAAAAATGGGTTGGGAGGGTGGGAGGCAGGGAGGGGAGGGGTGAATAGCGGGTGGGTGAGTGGGAGAATGGGAGGGAGGGGAATGCTGGATTATGGATAAATGGGCTTTAGTAGGGGTTGACTAGGCATGACCATGGGCATCTTAATGTATTTTGTTACTTTTTCTCAAGGGTAGAAGAGACGGGGTGGGGGGGGGGGGTGGGGTTTGTTTTTCTTACGGTTTGTCGGGTGATGTAAAAAGATGACTTGCCATAATTTTGTTATACAATATTTTGAGAGTACCTCTTTGTATTTAAGTGTTTTGAGAGACGGGCTGACATGCTGGAACCCTTGTATCTTTAGTCCCCCTGGGTGTGTTGGATGCATACCTGAAACCTTTTATTTATTCTCCACTAGCCACAACAGAATTCTGTAGCAGATATTTCTTTGGCAAGTAATCACCGGACCTACACCCCTACCTTCCGTCCCTCTACTTTTTAATGTTTCTTTTAATCCCACTGTTAGCAGTAGTCGCAAGAAACTGCTTCAATTATACAGTTAAAAAAACAAACAGAATCCAAGTTAAGTTAAACACACATCCCCTTCCCAAAATGCAGCCCTGCGCTCACAAAATTAAACAATGGCCTTCTTTGTCTTCCATGGCTACAGCCATTCTTTCCCGGCAGCCAGGGTTGATATTTAATTTAGATGATTTCCTGTGAGCTGAACCCCCTCCCCACTTTACTTTTCCTGTCTGTGAGCTCCACAGCCAAGAGACTTTGAAGCTGCTCAGATCACAGGGAACAAAGACTGACTGACCAGCCACCTCACTCCAAACACACACTATGCTTTTAAAGGAGAGAAAACAAGTGGGTGAGAGTTGGAAGAAGAAAAAAAAGACAATAAGATTGACCTAAATATACCTCATATCACTAAAGCGTAAAGCAGGGACACGCGTTTCATGTATGTAGTGAAAATATTTGTAGTATAGGTTCGACATATTGTATAATCATTTAACACTGCCTGTGTTTACAATTATAGAGCAAGTGACTCGGCAAAATGCAAATGTATTTTTTTTTTTCTTTTTCTTTTCTGTAAAAACATCCACGCCAAGCAGTGTTTCATTCTAGATGCCTCATAGAACATTCATTTTTCTCATGTTATATCCCTTATTTTTGTTACTTGCCATAATGTGTTTTGATATGATCTCTAGAAGGATATTGTTTACAAAAATGTACAAAAACACTAAAAATGTGTGTTCTCAATTTTTTTTTTTGAGTTTTTCTCCAGTATGCATGATAAAGACATTTTTGTATGGCTTTTTTTTCTGACTGTCACCTCAATACCAAATTTTGTAGCAGAAGCCTCCCCATTCCTTTGTCTTATTTGTTCTAGACCCCTTGTGATATGATTTCCCAGGCTGTACCTGTTATTGAGATGATGAACGGATTAGAGAAGCCAATAAAAACTTTTTGTTACAAAAAAAGTATGTGGTTTATAATTTCTGACCTGTTGACTGCACTGAGCTTTTTGTTTTACAACGGATATACCAAAACAGTTCTGATTTCATTTATCAGGTATGGGATAAAGACATTCCTAGACTCGCTTAAAATTACTAAAAGTTATATATTTCAAACTACAATTCCCCTTACATCTTATAGGATGATTCTTGAAAGCCATTGAAATTATCCTAAATAAATATCGTGGAAGTTTTAGTCCAATATTCAAAGAAAATTAACAACAAAATGTATTATTGAAATTTCTGACAGAAAGTCTCCAACATAAAAATTCCTGGAATTCTTTTGCAAGTCATTTCTTGAAATTCTCCGTGGGGGTCCCCAGCCTCCAGCACTGTTACTTTGGTCTACCCAGCTGAAATGTTTGGGAACCCCTGCTCTGCATCATCATTGATTCAGTTCTTGCATGTGGTGCCTTTACAACTTCTGCACGCTGAGATAAATTCAACACCATTCTTCTTGCAACTGCACCGTCGGTTAATGCAATCTCCATTACAGCTTGTGAAACTGAGTGGCTCCTCAGGAGCTTTTGTTAACGGCTGAGAATTGCACAAAAGTAGTCTGTGACATAGCTCTACTTTTTTAGCAATTCAAAGGCTTGTGAATTGGTGTGAGGACAACAACCTGGTCCTGAATGTCAATTAGACAGAGGAGAAGGTGTTTGACCCCAGGCCTGTGATCATCCACAATCAAACAGATCTCCTCATTAATATTGTTCATTGTGTTTTTATTGACAATGCATTGACCTGGAACACATACGTAGACAGTTTGTGTAGCAGATTACAACAACGGTTACATTTCTCACATCGCCTGAGAGTCCACAGTGTTGATCAGAACTTTATGTTTATTTTTTATCAGGCAGTCATAGCCTTATCAGGTATGGTATCACAGCATGGTTTGGTAACCTGTCTGTGCGGTTAAAAACAAACAGATTTTGATCACTAACAGAATTTAAAAGATAAATTATAATATAGGGCCACCTGATTATCCAAACATGTAACATTTTCATAGATCTGAAAACCTAAAAAAGACACAATGCTGTTCTCCCAGCCCTAGGCAGTGTGACAGAAAGAAAACATGTAACATACAGACACATAAATATACCTAACCATGTTGTATCAGCCTCCCATTAATTCTCTTCTTACTAAAGGAGACTGCTGGTCTTAACAAGCCCAAGTGGCTTTTTTGAGAACTCCCTTTCCAGCAGCTGAGGTTGGTACTGACAATCTACTGCCACTACTTCTAGCAGTTACCTCTACAATGGAGGCTTTGAACACTGCCCACTCACGCGCCCAACCTTATGAGATGCACAAGAAATTCTTTGGGAGGTGTGAGCTGAAGACTGGTGATGCAGACTTGGGCTTCAGCTGGACATTCCGAGTTCAACCTCACAGAAGGGTTTTTGGTTTAGCCAATCTGTTCTGCAGCGTCCCGTGCTTTCTGAACCCACCAATAGCATTTAGTAATTGGTCGACAGCACTACACCAGGGAGTCTCAGAGACAGAAGGCAGCACATCCAATGAAACAACCACAAAGTCCATCATTGATCTTTGGCCTGGACTGTTCTGGTATAAAGTCAATTTATAAACACCTCACGCTGAAGAACGGAGTTTGTCATGGCCGATCAATGACTAGCATAGACATAAACTCCCCAAGAGTTTCTCAGGTGCTTAGTAGAGTGTGCAGAGTTCATATATTTTTCTTTTCTTTTAAAGCAGCTCATCCTCATACTGCATAATAATGTTTCTGAGGAGAAAGAGATGATGGAAAGTCAGTGCAGATGTTAGTATTAGCTCTTTTAGAGGTTGCATTGTTTGAGTACACTTTGCATTTGTCGATCAATTGTCACTTCATTGAGTTCCATTAAGGTTGCAAATAGCCTTTGTGACTCTCCTGAAGCAGGGGGAAACGTTTTACTGAAGTTTCATTTGTTCTTATTGTCTGTAAAGAGCAACACTTTGCTGATTCTTTAAACTACATTTAAAGGCATGGTCTATATTATATGTTTTCAACAGTCACTAGTAACTTCACAGTACTTTAAAATACCTACACCTCAAAATACAAAGTTCAACAAATAAAAAGATGGGTGATTTTCATCAATAACCGTGTAGCGTTGGAGAAAAAAAGTCCAGGTTCAAGGTTTAGTTTGAGGTAAGTGATGATGTGTGATTGTCCAGTGTGCATCATGCTGAATAGAGTGAGTCCACATAAAGTGTCCAGGTCCTACGTTCGGACCTTACTTTTTGTCTCGCGATGAGGTTATATAACTGAGGATAGCATTCGGAACATCCAGCGTCTCATCCTTCACCAGTACGATGTCAAAGGAGTTGATGTACGACTCTTTTCTCTCCTCCACCTGAGAGACAGAAAACGTAACTTTTTTTTCCCCCAAAACTGAATGTGTTCATGTTAAAAGATATTTGGATACAACTGTATTTTGGTCTGACCTGGTCGTTGAGGAAGCCGATGGTGAGGATGTTCTGGTGCTCAGACACCCCGTCAGCCATCGTCAGGTCTCCTAAAGAGTCTCCCAGCAGCAGCACGTTGGGTCGACCCTGCAGATTTTTGAGGCCAGCTGCATGTGACAGAGCGCCTTCCCTCTTGTTGAAGGTGTGGATCAGTAGGCCTTTAAACGCTTGCAGAGCCCCCTGATGAACAAGACAGTGTTCAGCTTAGCTACCTTTGCATGCATTCAAAACTTTAGGTAAGTACTAAAACTATTATCTGCTAAATGTATTTTCAGAATTACAATCAAAAGTACTTACAATGTAGAACAATGGTCCCTGTCAATGTTTTAATATGATATTTAATGTGCCAATTGTAACTACTTTAAATACTAGGGTGGTTAAATACAGCGATGTTATTCTCTTAGGTCACATTAGTCCTGCAAGAATCACATATCCCTACAAAAAACATCACTGTTTCCAGCTTTGTGACACCATGTTCATGGTGTTTATTCTAGTTAATCTAAGAGCGGATATGACTTTCAAATGGACAATGTCATAACGGAAGATATTGCACCAGCAATGAAAATAAAAATCTACAAACTGATGGGAAAAGTATTTGGATTCAATTGCTTTTAAATAAATAAAACAATTATATAGCCTTAATCACAACAAAAGTTATCGAAAAAAAGAGCAGCTCAGCTTGTGGTCTGTTTTACATTCTTTAGAGAGACTTAAGAGTCCATATCATAGATGTGGCGTTTCATACATGATACGAAGGCCCAGTAAATTGTGCCGTCACACTTACAGTTGGGTCAAAGTCCATGTAATTGGAGATGATGTTGACGTTGGGATGGAAGACCTGGTTCTGTCGAATCACCTCCTCCAGGACGTCTCCGACGCCAGCAGAGAAGATCAGCAGAGGGATCTGTTGCTCTGCCAGGCGGTCAAAAAACGACTTGTAGCCGTCCCTAAAGAGGTATCACATACACACTGCACTCTTAACGCAGAAATCAACAACTCTCCTGAGAAAACACTGCTGGTTGAAATGATTAAGTCAGAATTTCAAATCTCCCTGAGCTTTTGTTAATGATTTTTCATTATCTGTTTGCGTATTGAAAAGTTCTTGGAATACTTTGCTCCTCCAATGAGTCCTCTTTGTGTGTTTTAGTTAACCTTTTTTTTCATCTTTTTGTAAAGCTAGGGGTCTTGGTGGATATGAAACTTGAACACAGTGTGTACCTGAGCATAGTGCCGGATTCGTTGACAGCCTGGGCCAGCAGGTCCTTCCTGATCCTCTGCTGAATCAGCAGCTCATGGACTTTAGTCCACCTGTAAAGAGACAAGTAAATACTGACATCTTCAAGTGCTGAAGAAGCAATTTGAAATGTTTTCTTATCAACTGGAGAAATTTTCACATTGGAAGATTTTTATTTTTATTTTTTTCGTATGTGCTGAAAGAATTTCCATGAAATGAGATTACAATAGACAGGGGTTCTTAGTTTCTTACCACTCCACCATGAGAGGCAGCTTTTCCTCAACACTCCTGCTTGGGTCAATCTCTATGGGATAGTATGTGTTCAACAGCACCTTCAGCTACAGTGGACAGACAAAAATGTGTATTTATAAACCCCATGCATGGATTGTAACAGGATACATTTCCTGGTCTATATTTAAATTATAGTTCAGGTTTACAGACAAGTACATGTTAGTTTAACACACAGTCACAATGTCTTAAACAATAAAGATACAGTTTTAAATGACAGACTTTATGACTGTATCCAATGTACCTTTTGAGTGCAGTCTTCACTGATCAGCAGACGGTTAATCAGGATGTCTGGTAGAGGAAAGAGGAAAGCTAGTTTGTCACAGTTTTAGAAAACACGGAAAAACGTGAAGAAAAAGGACCAGTTAACAATGATGAATACGTTACGTTTGTCCAAGACGCAGACAATCTTTTGAAAGGATCAGTTATACATGCCCGTGCTCTTACTGTGTGTTGTAGGCACTCTCCTGCCATTGTGGGCAAATCTGGTGAGTGTCATATCGAAGTCTGAGATTACCTGAGGAAAAATGCCAAATTGCCAATGCAAATTTAAATTACAAGCCAATCACTCAGCACACAAATAATGTAATTCAATACAAACAACTTATACAAACAATGTATTCCTATAGGAGCAATCAGTTTGGATGAGCATGTACATAAAAGACAAATACATACAACAACAACAAGAACAACAACAAATGACTCCAATCTCAAATGACTCCTGCTATTAAGCAGACTTCTACATCATTAAAAACAGAATAAAACAATAAAGGTCTTAATAACAGGATGGAAGTATCTCACTCCAGACAGAATTTACCCAACGTCATTTACCTGCAGGCTGCCTGCACCTGCTCGCTGCATGGAGTGAATGGTTTCCTCCACCCTGCCGCGCTCTCTCATCAGCACAGAGCACTTGGCCAGCTCTGGGATCTGAGGTGTAGATGATTTGGTCACGATGCATGTTTATCCAGGCACAGTGTCAGGGAAAGAAAGAAGTCAGAATAGAAGGAGGTTTTGTGGTTGCTTATTCAGGGGAGCTTTCTCACCTCGGTCTTGGTTAGCTGGTTCCAGATTGCCAGGACTGTCCTGACTGGAGTGTGGATCCAGGGAATATGGTATATCTGCATGACATGCAAGGAAGAAAACGTATATTCTTTTAGTCTTCCTTTTCCATTATGTCCTGAGAGTACACTTAGATGTAGTTGGTCATTTAACACTTTTAGAAATTAAAGGAATGACATTACATTGGTACATTAAAGTCCTGAATACATATCAAAAGGCAGACAATTAATTATTCTACACTAGTTAAAATAGTTTACATTGATTCATATATTTTGTCAAAACATAATACCTTCAATAAAAGGCTATATGAATGACTGAAGTTAACCTGAGCTCGTTACAGCACAATGCACCACTGGATTTCTTGAATGGTAGTTTTAATCATCGTCGTGTTGTTGAACCAACATATATTGTAGTACCATGTATTGGAATGAAAACAGGATGGTGCTAAGTTATTTTCACATCCCTAACAGGAAAGTTGTGCAAAATAAACAGCCTTTCTTACAAGCTACTAGCGTACGAGCGTACTGTACTGCAATGATTACGTAACCGACGTCCTCTACAACTTACCATTTTTAAACGTTAACTGGAGTGCTAGCGAGGCGTTACTTGCTTTTCTGACCAACCGTTATGAGTACATAACGACTTGAAATGAAATGTCTATCTTTAAAATGTGATATTTCAGTATTATTTTCTTTTTAAAAGACGCTCGTCTGTTTTTTTAGAACAATTTGTTTACATTGTTAAGTGTTGGTCACACCTTAACCATTCCCCCTCCACTACGTAGTGCACATTAACGTTCCGCTGCACTACAGTTCCTACCTTGCCGAAGGCGTTTTGCGCAGACCGGGTTGAGACTGTTCATTCACTGGTCATTATTCAGAGAATACATCTATCTGCTTATACCTGTACTATTAAAATAACATTCAGTATGCTGTTACCTTTTTCCAAATATATATTTTAATTGATAAAACAATTGTGGCATTATGTTAGGCATTAATATTTTAGTATTATACAATGTGTGGGGATTTTCATCCAGTTATACTTATTGAGTTGTATTTGTTCATTCATATAAATGATACAAAATAATTGCAGAATAGAATACAATAGAATCGATGATTCAAGAGAAGACACACTTGTTTTTTAATCATTATTGCATTTGTTTGCACACTTGCAGCCTTTGCATACACAAATGGAATGGTAACATCTGTTAAAGATTGTCAGCATGTTGTCGGAATATTTGACAACATCTGGAAAATTAAACTTCATCCCAATGTAATCCCTTTGATAATCAAATAAGAACAACAATCAGCGCTTGAAACCAAACCTACAAAGTGAAATGGTTCCTGTGGTTTTCACGTGGTACTCATAACCTTTAATTAGTTTAAAATAACCCTTAAGCAATAAACACCTCAACTCAAAAATCATCAAATGACAACATTTTCATTCAGCAACAAAAACCTCTCACATTGTTTTATTTATGTGAGTGGAAAAATGCTTGGAAACTTAAGATTTGATACTTTTAAACAGCTTGGCTGGGAATAATTAAGACTTAAGCAATTTCAACAGCTGCACAGAAAGACACTCAACTCAGCAACTGGTCCACACAACACTTTTGATTTAGATCATTGTACTCAAAAAAAAGCAACATGATACAAGGATTCCAGGTCATTTAGTGCAAGAAATGCATTCATTTAGTTACTGCATCAATAAAGGGGCAGATAGGATTGTATGGCACATTTAAGAGTATTGAGAGAACCATGCAAAAAACACATTAGCTTCCTGGTTGAATATGTTTCACATATGTCCTAGTCTGACATACCAAATCAAGCTAGATACTACAGTTAAACTAGAAACAGGACTTCTCCTTTAAAGATGATCTGGTATTCATTATGTTGGAATTCATAATACAACAGCCTGGGAACTCAAATCCCCCTGTTCACCATCAGACATATCGTTTAAGAAATAACTCTTAACACACACCTTTGGAATGGTAAAAATAGTTTTGTACATTCGGTGACATCCATTTTAGTGCAACATTATATCAAACAATCTTTGCTTTAAACAAGAGGAAACAGGGGGAAAATAATCACTGCACAACCTGTTCCTCAATATGTGCTCTGCTTTATACTTAATTCTTCTACAAACATTCTGCTAAATGATTGCCTTTGTCAGGAGCGACTGCATGCACACCACATACACACATTAAACACATATGTATGTACACATTTCAATCCCTACGGTGCAAAAAAAAAAGGCATAATCAGGAAGGAAATAGGAGGTAGAACAGAAGCAGGTAGCAAGAAAAGTAAAAAATTAAAGCAAATATATGTTTCTACATTGAGTTTTTATAACTGCTTTTTTATTTACTACATTAAGTTTTTCACTTTTTCTTACTGACATCATTGTAACATCATATATATATATTTTTTTTTATATATATAACAAAGAAATGATATTGATAACTTTTACAGTTGTATTACAACTGTATGTTGACATCATTCCCCATACAAATACAAGCTTAACATAGTTACCTAGCAACAAAAGCAACAATCTCGTCAGAAACGTAACAGCATCACACAAGCATTCTGGAGCAGAATGAAAATAAGGCATCAGCTGATAATGTAAGACCAAAAAAGACAATGAACAGCTTATTATTATGAAGTGTCTCCGTTGTTTTTGCTGATCAATCAAACAAGAATAATATTTGATCTCTTTATCAGGCAAACTCATGCAGACATTTCACCTCAGTAAAAGCAAGAAATCAAGTAAGGTAAAATTGTAACAACTAAAAGGCAATTTGCAGATTAAGTGCGTAAAGACAATGCTGATCTCAGCATTCGATTTGAGACTGCAGCTGTCGGCGCAGAGTGAGGGTGCGGCGGTGGAGCTGCTGCATCTGCTGCATGCGTTCTCTCTGACGTGCCAGGTTCTGCGGCATGGGGTACTGCTGACAACCGTACAGATATCGATATGGGATTCGAATATGGCAAGCTGCTGCCCTACAGCGCGGCTCGGGTAAGGGCGGGAGCAGCATCCAGCGCTTTCTCTTTGCACAGTAACGGTAGGCCTCTTTGCGGTACTGCTTGTCCATGTTGTGACTGTTCCTCCACCCTCCAATGATGAAGATGTCTTCGTCCAGGTAGCAGATCGCTGCACCTTCGATGGTGAGGACCTCTGGAGGGAGGCTGTCGAGGATGTCGTCAGAGATGTTTCTGTCTATTTTCTGCTGAGCGGCCTCTCCTGTTAGCTTGTAGCTCTTAGCGCAGCAGGAAGCTGTGTGGTAGAAGTTGGTGGACGCAACAGCCATTTGAAAAGTACAGTAGTTATCAATGAGCGGTAAGGACACCACGTCCTGCCACTTGTGACTCTCTGTGTCATAACAGGCGGTCACTGTGCTTAGTCCATCCTCATTGTCCACATCCACAGGGGTCCTGGCCATCACATAAATGTAGCGATCCTCCACGCTCACTGTTTTTACGTCCCTGAGTATTTTTGGTGCTGGTTCCAGGTTGTGCCACTCATCCTGCTCAGGTGAGTACACAGTTACATCCTTGAAGCCTGGGCTGAAGTTGCCATGGCCGCCGATGCTGTAAAGGACATCTTTGACACATGTGAGGCCAAAGGAGTGTTTGCGTGTGGTCAGGCTGCTGAACTGCTCCCAGGTGTTAAGATTGGGGTTGTAGCGCTCCACCGTTTTAGCGAAACCTGGCTCCATGGATCCTGCCACGTAAACATGGCTGTCAGTGACGGTGATAGCATGTCCATCAAGGTGGTTGTGAATGTGCGGCAGGTTCACCCAACGGTCCTCAGCAACGAGGTAGCCCACACACTCGCTCAAATAGTCTCCGCCCTCAGAAACACCACCCACGACCATAATGACATCCATGTTCTGGCCAAAGCGTGGCTGGACATCTGCCATAAAGGAGGAACCCAGCTCGAGACTTGCTGGTTTGTTGCTCATGAAGCGTACTGCGAGAGCCTCAAGAGCATCACACACTAGCTGACAACAAGCGGGATTGTTTGCCACCAACAGTTCCTTCCTCACTTCTCGAGTCAGGTAGGTGGGAGCGATCAGAGACAGCCGTAATAGCCTGAACAGCTCCTCAAAGTGCTTCTCTCGCTCCCCTGTATTGTGGTGCACC